GCATGTGCTATGAACAAAAACTGGCACGTGCTAGAATCCAGTTACACGCGTTTGTGCGTAGTTGCAAGTGGTTCTTTGTCTTGTCTTGGAGTTTAACTTTCCCTGACTTCTAACCAGCAGCACAGGACCTCCCTCCGTTTGGACTCATTGAGGTGCATTTTCCTAAAAAACGCATTTGATTGGTTAAAAGCCGGCTGCGCTGGTTCACATCTTACTCGATATTAGAATGAAAGTAAACTATCTATGCTTTCCCTGACTACTTTCGACGACTAAATTAATTGCACTTTTCACTAATATACATTATCAAATTCAAGACATCTAAGACCTGAAGCGAAACTGGTGTTGAAAGGTGACAACAAAAGTATAAAACGAACCTAACTTTTAGTTGGAGTTTTGTCCTAGAGTCTCGTTTAGAGGTAAAGATCATTCTACGAATTCCAGCTGATTGAGTCATTAAACTTATCATCTAACATAGAGGAACAGATAAATTTTTTTATAACAACGTCTGTTTCCTTTCCAGGAATCTAGCCACAATGGTAAACATTTCAAACATCCGCTTTACAAAGGTATCGTGGACGGAATATGGTGGTCTTTTATGACCATGACAACAGTCGGGTATGAGAATAATTCACCGCATAGAGTGTGGATACCATTCCCTTCCTCTTCCAAGTCTTTGCCTTTATAAAACGTTGCTTTTTTCCCTTTTATTGTTTTGTAGTTATGGTGACAGATACCCAAAGACCCATCTTGGCAGATCTATTGCCATCTTGTGGTTTTTGACAGGGATCGTTCTGTCGTCCCTTCTCGTCAGCTCACTTACATCATCCATGTCTGTACGAATCCTTGATCGAAATTTAAACGTAGCTCGGGGAAAAAAGGTAAGCAATTCTAACTCCTAAAAATTTTGGTAGCTAAATACTTATTGAAATGTAATTTTACATCCACATAATGATACATGTTAAAGAGACTACTTTTCCTTGCACAGGTGGGCGCGCTGGCTCAGTTTCCTGAGTATGATCTGATAATCAGATTCATATCCAAAGCAGGCGAGGGTAAGTCGAAATCTTTAATTATTGAAAAACAACATTTATCTCAAGAAATGTGGGTTGTCTAAGTGAAGACAGTTCTCAACAGATGGTCATTTATTAGTCTCTGTGGGAGCGCTGAAAGATGAGTAGTCCAGTAATCAAACAAGAGGGTTTGGTTTAGTAGACACCAAGTAAAAACCCCGTCTGTCGGGGAATTCTGAGTAGTATTTTACACTGGGAATTTTAGGTAGTATTCTCAATGCACTTTTTCGACTAAGAAATCATATTGGAACAGTTAAAAAAAAAGATAAAGCGAAGCAAAACAGAACAAACAAACAAGTTTACGATTCCTCAGGGTGCTCAGATTTTTTCTTCATCCCACGATGGTGACAAAATGAAAAAAAAAAACTATGAAATTACTCAGCTTGGTCACGTTTAATCTAAAAATTGATGTGAGATTTTCTTTTCTATTAGGTAAGACATTTCTCACATTAGAGAAGCTTGTAACAGCCCTGGAGTACGGAGAGGTTGATGGCATCCTAGTAGACCTGTACACAGCAAGTTACAGGAGCGATTTGTTTAATGTCACTTGGATAGTTATCAGTCAAATAATCCCTTTTGAGTTTACCTCTGGGGCTGTGATAAGTAGAAATGCAGGCAAACTTGAGAAGCATTTTCGCGATTACATCGAGACAAAGGGTACTGTAGCAGTTACAGAGGTGCTGAAGAAGAGAACTAATGAAGAGAAGAAAGAGAACAAGGTGAGTGTTACATTCCTGAACATTCCTGTTCAAAAATCAATCCAAGTTCTTTTGTGGTGTATCTCCGCCATGCTATGTAATTGGTCCATTAAGAGAACCAGGTCCAATGTATCAGCAATCTCATGCAAAAGCGAAATCAACGTTGAGACTTGGTCACACACGTTTTCTCACGTTCAAGGCCGTTTAAACGTAATTTGTTTTTATCTCTTGTTGTCGTCTTGAGTATTTTGGTTTGCTCGGACCGGCCATTGTGACAAAATTCGCTCATGAAGGGCTCTAATCGATCTGAGTTTTCCGTCCAGACTTCCATTCACAAGAGCGAGACAACCAGCATTCCTCTGTTGGATCCAAGAACACGTATCTATCAAGTGACAATATTTATTTTCCTGGCTCTTCTATTTCTGGCTGTGTTCATGGGATTGGTGTATCACTCGTGGTATAAAGGACTACAGAAAAGACGATATCAGATACAAGGTAAATAGATACAGACACATGCTAAGTTCTGAGCCTGGCCATCAAATGAAGAAATTTTTCATTTATTTGCCACGAGCTTTGGAGAAAGGAGCAAATCTATGGGTTTGCTAATCTCACTCCCTTAAAGGAAACTGACATCATCCGTTGAACCAATCGGTGTGCATATTCTCCATACTGTTCTCTATACATTTCCTAGGGTGCTGGTAAGGAGAATTTGTTTGACAATAAGAGTTTCGAATGAATGTGAATATATGAATATCATTTATTTGAACTGCGGATTTATAAATGGAGATGAGAGTGATCTTCGCAGTAATGAACGTTACTAAAGCAGTGAAAAGGGAATTCAGGCTTCTTTAGTTGGTGATCTCTTTATTCCCAAAACCTTAATCTGTGACTCAGGGGTGATATTGTAGGGAGAAGATATATCTTAGTCAATCTCAGGGGTCAAAAAGTCAATGGACTGGTAGAGAAGAGACTTATCAATAACGTTTTGTTTCCTTTTTTAGCCAAACGAGAAAAACAAAGAACAGAATACATCATGGCTAAATTACAGTTACAGCAATTGGTAGAAGAATTTTATCAACGGTTTTCGATGACATATAAAGAGCTACGGCTAAAACATTGCAAACAGCTTGAACGTCTTAAGATGGCGAACGCGGCATCTGCTAATGGAGAAAAGCCATTAAATATTACCAACGGTGAATGGGTCTAGCGAATATTGCATACAAGATCACTCTAGGAAAGGGTGCTACTTCGAATTGAATTCTGGGTAGACGGTTCGTTTGTTAGGTCAATACGAATAGATCTTTTTCAAGCCCTAAATTAATCAAAGTCTAAGAGTTTGGTGTAAACTCTCAGCGGATCAACATCTAGAAGCAAAAAGCCAAGTATTCTTTCAAGGTTTTTTTTGGGAGCAAAGAATCTCACCGATTCTCCAACTCCACTTAAACCAACAATGATCCACCACAGTCAAACGGAGTTGAGAGATAGAGACCTAGGAAGAGGCCGCAAAGCTCGCTTCACCCTTTACACCCTAAAATCAGTGTGCATATTCTCCATACTGTTCTCTAAACATTTCCTAAAATGCTGATTAGGAGAGTTTGTCTAACAAGCAAGATCTTCTTTAGAGGGTGATCCGCTCCTTAATACTAGCGTTTTTCTGTCGGTAAGATTATACCGTGCTACTTTACACCCTTAATATCAGTATGCATGTTCTTTAAACTGTTCTCTGTACATTTTCTAGGGTTCTGACAAGGAGAATTTGGATCAGTATCAGTATCTGGGCAACTGCCCACCTACCCCTCCCCTAACTCAACAACAGTCAATTGACAACAAGTTAAGGTTAATGTTGGGTTAGGGGAGGGGAAGGTGGGCAGTTGCCCAGATGCTGATATTGATCCGAGAATTTGTTGAACAATCAAGAGATACATTAGTTGGTGATCATTTCCTTTATTCTTGTAACCTTAATGTTTGGTTCAGGGGTGAAATGATAAGGAGAAATTAGACGCCGGTCACTCTTAAACTCGATAATCGGTTTGTTGCTCCAACCGTCTCTTTTTAATCGCATCAAATAATTTTAAAATCAGAAGTCAAAGCTTTGTGCAAAAAAAAATCCATTCGAAAATTTTATATGCGTGTTTAACGAGGAGAATTCTCTGTATGAGACTAGGACATGTAATTTATGAAAAAGAGATGTATTGGTCAATTAAAGTCCTCAGAGATGGCTTTTTAAATAATAATTAAAAAAAAAAAGCTTTTTCAGATTAATAACATTACTTAAGGCGCCAAAGCGGGTCGTTGTGACTAATCTGTCAACCATACCTCAATTCATACGAGGTTTTAATTGAAAACGCATCTTAACGTGTTTGCATAATCCTATAGAATACTTGACTTATCAAAAAAAAGAGAACATTAACAATAAATAAAAACAAAAGAAATAAAAACAAAAGATTTTTGCATAAGGGAGATCAATGAAAAAAACAATTATCTGTGTAGCATGTTTTTCTGTTCCTTTTAGCTCAATAACTGTCACGCGAAAGCATAAAGCGAAAGGGAGCAAATAAAAAGGGAGTTACGCGCTCTTGACATGTCTTCCATGCTAACCCCGTGATTCATGTTAGGCTCAAGCCTCTCCCTTTTGGTAGAAAGGGAAGAGACTGCTACATACGTATGCACCTAAAGGCACGATCAAGGCAGTACGTGCTAAAATTTCCAATGCAAATTGCGTTATAGGAAAACTGATTACAGATGATTTCAAAGCATAGGCACACAGCCATAAAGTTTTCTGTAGTTTTTCAAATTAAGAATTATTTATTCTCTGCTGAAAAAAAAGAAAACAGCTACCTTTGAAAACTCCACCACGCTTCCAGACAACGATTAATATTACAAAGAACGCGTCCCAAAGCATCATCGTAACGGACCAGGAATTTCGTAAATAGAACAACAACCCTGTGCCTGCGTTTTAAAACTTTGGGTATTTCTAAGCCGCCGTCCAAAGAAAAATTGATTGCTGATCATTGTTATCCTCGGCACACCGTTGTCTGCGGCTAATGGCGCCGAAAAACGACCTCCTAATATCTCGCAGCATGAACCTACACGATAGAATTGCTAATGATGTCATTTAAACTATATTTGACAGGTTACGAAAGTTTGACCAATCTCTTATCAATACTTAGCATATATAGCAATGATTTTTTACTTATATTAGGCAGACATGTCAATAGATCTATAATTCTTAAAGGAACGGAGAACAAAAAAAGTATTTTGTCTAGTTTCAATTAGGACTACCGATCACTCCGTGGCAGTCTCCGTGATGATTCTGATGATGTGGAAACATTCGAGCTGCTTAGGGCTCTATCTCGCTGTTTACTGTTTGATATTAGAGGGCTGCCCTTCGAGATGCAGTGGAAAGCTGACAGAGCTTGCAGGTAGGCAAGAAAATGATTTAATCTTTACAAAACACCACACAAGATTTACACTCTAAATAATTTCACAAAGGGCCACTAATATGCCAGTTATGGATGTGGCCAACATCTGCATATATCACAACACTTCACTCTTTGGAATAAGAAGTTAAATTTTAGCTTAGTGATGAAATAGGGAAACCTGTTCTTTCGTATCGAAAGATGTTTTTTTGTCTTGTCTTCGTGAGGAATCGAACCACAGACCTCCGATGCTCTACCACTGAGCCACAGAGACTCTGTCACGTCTGTGAGCAAGAACACTTCGAAGTTCATTTATTACATGCGTCCTTTCAACATACTGCAAGGATCAGCAGTGTTGATGGCGTCATGTTTGTGTTTTCACGAACGTGAACTGAACAAAACAATAAAACTTCAGAGTCCACGTGAGGAACTGAACGTCACACTTTCAAATTCCGTGCTTCGATGCTCTATTACTGAGCCTCAGAGGCTCTTTCGTAATCTTGCGGCCATTCCTGGGTTGTTAAACAGCACGAGTCCTGCATACTGCCATGATCAGTGGGCTCAGTGGAAGAGCATATCTGAACGCGGAATCTGAAGCTCTGAGGTTCAGTTCCTTATGGGGCGCAAAACTTTTACTTTGTCCCACAATCCGAGAGAAAGGACGAAAAAAGATCATTCTCTACTTCACTCTTTGTTCAATAAATCATTTGTATTTGCTCAAAGCTTGCGTGATTACGTCATTTATAAATTTAGAAACTTTGTCCTGAAAAAATTGCTCGTTTCTCGTAGAAAAACACGTGAAAAGAGGACGTAGAAATGTTGGCCCTTTGTCAGTAAATGGAGTAGAAAGTTATGGGAATTATACTCTCAATCACTCGTTGACATTGAATACCACCAGAAGTTTGACGGGTGCATTTAATTTAACACAATGGATCCTGACGAAGTTCCAGATGACGATTCTTAAGGAGCAGGGTAATTCCTATACAGATCTTTTCAACCTGGATCCTCCCACCCCAAGAGAAATACCTGCTAGAAGAATATCAAAAACTCAATGTCCAATGGGTCAAGTCTATGACAATTTCGTCCAAGTTTGCCGCCTCGGTATAAGTGCCTTTGATTTGACAACCTTCAGTAAAAGAGTCTTTATCGTTGCGATTTTCATGCGTGCTAACATTTCACCTCTGCAATGTCCAATTATAACTGAGCCTCAAGTTAAACAAGCCATTGTCGGGAAGTTGGACATAAATGACACATCTATTTCCGGAATCGCAATTGCATATCTTCCGGGTACTCTTGAGCTTACGGCAACAGTCACAGCAGCCTTTAATCTCGATTTAAGCCAAACGATATCGGACTTTTCTTTTCGTAGCCTCAAGACGGCACTGAGCTCTCTTTCTATTGAATTCAATGGCACAAACTTTACTGTCTTCAATGTAATTATGAGATATTTTAATTGTCCTGTAAAAGAAATCTTCCAACCCGATGAGTATACATTGCAAGGAGATGTAGTAACTATCTCAGCTACTGGAGAAACGTTTCAAGAAATTGACTTTTACACGAACGAAATCAATCTGACAAATGGGTCTTACCTTCCCTCAGGGGTTCTCACAGTGTGCAAACAACCCGCGATAAACTGTTCAGGGGTTTTCATTCGATTAACGAAGGACGAATATTTCATTTCGTCAAACTATTCTCTATATCGAAACGTTTCGGGAGAAGTCATAAAGCCTGGACGGTTTCATTTTATTAATGGATATCTATGGTTTTGTGTAAACTTCTCTTCGAGTTACTCTTATGAAACGCTGACGAATGATTCAACGATGGAGGAAATGGTCTCGGAGGTGCTAACTTATGTCGGTCTCTCCGTCTCGATTTTCAGTTTTCTGATAGTCTTAGTGACTTATTCACTATTTAAAGAGCTTCGCACTTTACCCGGAGTCAATTTGATGAATTTTTCTATAGCACATTTGTTTAAGGACTCACTTTTCATTGCTTCTGGATGCGGATTGCCAAAGCTTGCATGTACAATAGTTGCCATAACAATGCATTATTTCCTGTTAGCGTCCTTCACTTGGATGTCAATTATTGCATTTGAAACGTGGAGGGCATTTTCCAAAATCCGCATCCAGCCCAGAAATCCAAGCAGAAGGCAAAAGTGTGGTTACGTGCTAAGAAGAATGGCTTGCGGATGGGTCCCTCCGTTTGTTTTTGTCTTCGTGTGCGTAACTCTTGACCAGTCCCGCGCGGCCTCTTTTCGCTATGGCGAGACTGGGACCAACAGCTGCTGGATAAACATTCCCACTGCAAATTTGTTCTCGTTCGTTTTGCCAATAGCTATCGCCATTTCGTTTAACATTGTGTTCTTTGTCTTGACTGTGATAGCTATACGGAAAACAAACCAGCAGGCGAGAGAGGCAACTCACCACGCAGCGAATCACAAAACTGCCGCGGTATTTGCCAAAATTTTTATCCTGATGGGGTTTACATGGATTCTTGGCTTCTTGCAGGGTCTGGTGTCGGAATACTTTCGATACCCGTTTATCATATCAACAACTTTCACGGGACTGTATGTTGCACTGGCGTTTGTGTTTACATCACGAGTAAAGGGGCTTTGGCGCAGCTTGTGCGCTGACAGCTTGTGCGCTGTTCCACCAACAACTCGTTACAGCAGTCAAGATCGTGTATAAATGACGCATGTTTCTCACTCACAACGAAAGAATCTGATCGGGCCAGACCCAAAAGTCATTTATGAACACGAAAATGTGATGAAAGTTCTCCCTTCGATAGACTGCCCGACGGCCGACAAAGAGAGGCCGCCCTAAGGAACTTGGAGGAGAACCGTAGAAAAGGAAACGAGGAACGGAGGCTGGACATGGGAGCAGCGTGACCAGATGGCAACCGACAGAAATCAATGGCGCTGTCTGTCCGAGGCTTTATGTACATCGACGCACGAGACGGACTTACTAATGGTGGTCACTGACCTGTTTCCACGCTTCCCGTTATGATCCTTTCATAAATTGTGTTACGAAAATGTTCAATTTTTATTTGTTAAAAAAGAAAGAGCAAAATATGCAGTTGATAACGTCCGTCGAAACCCAAAGGAACTTGGTAAGAGAGCGGGAAACAGGAAGCGCGGTGGTTGATGGTTAGGTGGCGAATGGCTGTGGCCCAAAATACCACGAACACCTGATATACCTTTGCAATTTTCTTTTTCTTCTCGTTTAAGAAAAGGACTCGTGGGTTATGATTTTCAGATTGTTACCGAGACATAAGGGTGATCTAGCTATCACAAATACTAGCACCTGGTACCTCTTTACCGACCCCACCTGGGTGGAGGAAGTTCTTGTAAAAAAAAACCTACTCTTATTACATCACTATGACAGCATAACAAATCAAGGTTTTGATGACAGTTTAATTAGGAGGTCATCAAATTATTTTGAGTGATAAAACACCTAGAAGTAAATTAACGTTAATAAGATTTAATTCCATTTTTTTCTGCCATGTAAATGCAGTTGAAAAGTTTCTCTTCAACCCATTTAGTTTGATCAAACTTTAATTTGTTCACAATTTTGCATAAACCAAACCGGATACGAAAATATGCGATCAAACCTTCGTCACACGTTCGATATTGATTAACCAAATATTTGAAAGTATATTTGAAGCGCGTACGCTTGTTTGAAATAAGTATGTTTAGATGCATTGTATTGGCAATTTCCTTCAGTGTGAAGTGAAGTTTCGACATAATATATGGCGCCCAGAGAGAAAACCAGCTCTGAATAAAAACGCTGATTTAAATCGCAATTTCTTCTTCTGGATAAACTTCACTGAAGATGCACTGTTCTTGCAATTTTCTGACACGAGAGTATGACATTCGGAGCTAAACTAGGCAGTTTTTAACTGTAGCTTCCCTCAGATAGTAGTCAATCAGAAATCAAGTCATTCTTGAAGGACGCAAAGACGTGATTGTCATGTGCAGCGATCCAACTACTCTTGATAAACTCCGAACACAACACAGACAGCAAATACAGAGTCGTTATGGTAGCTCTCTGATACAAATGTATCACAGTCAGTGTCCCAGATGGAACGGCTGGCAATTCTCACATCTTGCCCTTTTACTTGTCCAATCGTCACGGAACACACGAATTTAAACCGAGCGTAGCCAAGCTGTTTCAAGTCGCTCATGATTGAGTTGGACATACCTTTAGCGAGCTCTCTGCATCTCTTCGCCTCGTATGTTTGCGACTCTAGCGACTGTAGATGCTGAACAATGATGCTTCGAACCTCTTCAGCGCTAAATCGTTTCTCAGGCTTCATCTTGTATGTATTCTCCGCGATTGTTGTGGCTCTGGGGCGCGCTGAGTGCGTTGAAGACGACGCTTGCTCGACATTGCCAACAGGACACGAGAAAAAGGTCATTACGAAATTACCCTTTTGAGGAGGTACTTTCGGTGCGGGGAAGAACAGACTTGAAGCGCTGGAGCTGCTTCTTGTTCGGGTGTGACGACCTTCCATGATGTAGAATCTTTACAAAATTAAGCAAAATTTCTTAGACTTTGACGAAGCCGTCACAAGATATCTCCTATGGTTTCCATATTAGATAATGTGCGATACCCTTAGCGACTGATAAACACGGCTGGAAATTTGATATCGGAAACCATGACAAACAGTTTAGACACGCGGAGATTGTAGAGATATAGAGATTGTAGCAAATTGTAACACAATTTTCAGTTTGGGTATGTTATGTCATTTAACGCTTATTACATAACTTGAATTTTCCTTAAAATTGCGATTAAATTTCCCCTTTGTTAATGACATTAGCGTACAAGTGTTTTTCTTTCCTGAGTCGACGAAATAAAATGTGAATAACGCCAATTCATTTACCCTCTCGTCTTCTTACATCCGTTGCCTAATCTGCTCTATGACCCCATATGTATGCCGCGGTTTTTATTCTCTTGCTTCGTTTCCACATGTTAGCTGTGCTGAAACTTTCTTGGAATCAAAGCTCTGAGGTCGACTGTAAAGCCGACGTCTACAGGTATGTGTTGACAAACTAAGACATATTTACAATCTGAAGACCACGCGCATTTATTTTAACACGTACATAGATCATAAAGGACACAAGTCTGATTCACTCGAAACAAATGTCATCACAAAAAAAAAAACAAAACAAAAAACAAACAAAAAATGAAATGAAAATGAAAATACCCGTATATGGTATATTTCTATTTTCTGTTCATTCCAGATTTAGACTGGGCATCTACAACCTCCACCATCCATAACATCTCACTCTGAGGATTACTGCTGAGGTTGGCAATTTTCAATACCTTGATGGTTGGGTATTGTTTCTGATCAAAATTGCCTACTGATTGCAGTCTTCCAGCAATCATCACATACATTCCTGTTAAGATAATTTAAAGATTCATCTTATTGGACCAAATAAAAAATATACCTCAGGGATATTGAGCATTGGTCAAAATGCAAGGGAGAAGGCTCTACAGAATGTCTCAGTGCCTAGCAGGTTAAATTTTGCACAAGGATGCACAACCAACTTAGCTGAGGAGAGCTTGTTAATGAGTTAGTCCATATACTCTAGGTTCATATGTGTCTTGCTTACTTGCTAGGATAGGCAAAGTTGAAAGGGTACTGAGAGGTTAGAGTGGACAAATCAATAAAAATCAATAAAACAGAATAAAAAAAGTCATAGATTTTTGGTTCAGTCATCACAATTTATGAAGTAAGATCTTATTATCAGTTTCTGAAAACCATGAGGTAAAAGTAGGTGTTGCAACAATCATTCAGCAGTTTGCTGGTCCCCAACCTCTGCACAGTATCACCACATCATTCGCACTAATATCCTAACTGTCAGGTATGTTCTTGCTGCCCGTTCTTCCTATAATTTCATTTACCTTGTTTGTTATCACTGAAAATTACTGTTATTTAAATCATCTCTATATGTATTTCAGATAACAATGGTTATGTAATTTTAAACAAGTTTTGAGAATTTATTAGTGTGTTCACTACAGAAGGTACAGTTTGTACTTGATCCAAGTAGCCCAACCAGTCAGAGCTAACTTTAGTTTCCATAGCATGAAGCAACAAGGAGTATCACTACTCCCCCCCCCCCAACCACCCCCCTGCATGGGGTCTAGTCCATTACAAGGCTACCCCAGCACTTCATTATGCTTCCATGACAGGTTCCATGTACCTGTTTACATGCATGGGTGGAGAGAAGCTCTGCGAAAGTAAACTATTTGCCTAAGAACACAACACAAAGACCCCGTCAGTGTCTGACCTCTAGACTCAGAGTCCAGTGCACTAACCATAAGACCACTGCATCTCTCAGACAAAACCGCAAACACTTAGAATATTTCAGGTACAGTTTTTGTGTTAACACCAATCACATTGGAGAAAACGCTTATTACTCCTTGATTTCCAACACCACAAAATTTTCAAGTAATTCTGTGATGTTCATTGGTTTCAATGTATCACTGTAGAGATTAGGCACAAGCAGTGGACTGAAAACAGTCTGAACACTTTCTAGTATGACAATGCAAGGCATGAAATTGCACCTAATACAGGTGCCAATGCCACTAAATTTTTCACTTTGGCGACCAAATCCTGAAAATTAGTTGCCAAATTGGCAACTAGAATGTTTCATCATAACCTTACCTAGAGATAGAGTGAATTAACAAGATTTGCAAAGATAAATCTGTGGCAAACTTCCTTGTTAAGTTTGTTTCCAAAACGCAGCACATGCATCTTGATTGATAACTAGATGCCATCTTGGATTTAGGTGAGCTTGAACGTGGCATATCATCCATCCTAGTGTCCACTTTGTAGCACATTAAAGATCTTTTCCCTAACTTAATTTCTAGAATGATGACAGTGTAAAAAAAGGTTTTGTTTGTCTTTGAAAACGGCGACCAACTTTTTTTGAATTGGCTACCTCTTCGAAGAATTTAGGAGCAGAGTGGCTGTCAGAAAAAAAAAGTTAATTTCACACCCTGCAATCATTAATTAAATAATATCTCATCCACAATACCTACCTTTATGAAGGGAAAAATCTCTCACAAGCTTGGTAACACCTGTGACTTCAGTGATACCTGTACCATCATCCAGTAAAAAGTCATTTCCATCAGCTCCCACCAGAACAACAATACCTTGCACCCAAACTTGATCGAAACAAAATTTCACATTTCCATTCTTGTACAACCATTGTCCTTCAGTTCTGTTATGGCTCAATGAACAGTGCTGTAATTGACAGGCAAAGAATTTTCTGGCTGGTGAATCAAGATGGAATGTTTGTTTCTGTGACATAAGAGCTGTGTAAAGGAAGACATGACAAAACTTTGATAAAACTAGAATAGGAGACAAACCATGAATAGCACATGATTTTCTTTGAGAGCACAGTCATCCAAGCTCAATTAGTACTCTAAGATTGTTTGCTTGGTAAAATTTTTTTTTGGTAAATGAGTGACAGATAATTGGCTAATTAAACCCTTTATTGAGACTAAGCCTTCAGTGACCAGCACAAAAAAATTTTCTATATATACACAATCTTTTTAGCAGTTTCTGGAACATAACTTGAGCATAACTGAACCTTGTGGCTCAGTGGTAGAGCATCAGTGCACAGAATCCAAAGGTCTAAGGTTTGATTCCTCATGGGGACTCATAATTTTTTCTTTGTCCTGTGCTTGTGACAAGATGAAAAACATCTTTCTCTATTTCTTTACCGAGTTTAAAACTTACTCCTTGTTCACCTCTACATTCTAGTTGAAATGTGATATACCAGTGAATATATATATAGTTACATAATATATTACTATACATGAAAAATTTATGCACGTCTAACTGGCTGAAAAAGAGTGCATTTTTCATGTGACACGAATGCAAAGTTGTAACACAAGTGTAAATTACAAATAGCTGCCATAATTTCGTCCATCTTGAATTTCTGTGATGCGTTTTTCATGCAAATTCTTAACAAGTAACATTATGATTTCTCGTGCAATTTGGTGTAAATAAGCACTAGTAAATTTTTCAACGACAAATAAAATTGCACGAAACCGAAAAATTTATGTTGTTACATCTTCTTAACGAGCATTAACAATAATCTACAAAGTTTTGCAAAATAAAGCAAATGACTAAAGCTAGAGGTCCCTGAGGCAAGACCCATCAAGTTAAAATCAAACAAAATAGCAACTACTGACAGCATTTTTTGAGCAAAGCTTACCTGCGCCACTGAAAAATTCGCAGTTGCAAAGAAACTCTGAGATGCACTACAGCCTGCTGTTCTCACCTTCCCGCCATTTTGAGACGTTCGTAGTAAAGAGACTGGGTCGAGTTTTCGTGACGTCATGCATCATGGCGGACTTTTTGTGAACCTCTCCTTCGAAGATGTCAACACTATCGTAGGATTTTCTGAGAATGTTGGGGGTCGATTCCGCTTTATTCTAAAGCTATGATTAACTTGAGCTTGCAATTTAAGAGTATATAATGGCGAAGAAAAGAGTGGCCTACTTTTACGACGAGGATGTTGGAAATTTTCACTATGGTATGTTTGTTCTTTGTTAATTAGGTTCCTGGCAAGGTTGTTACATTTTGAATGAATATATTTTGCTTTGTTTTACATCAGCACATGTTTTGAGGGTGCGTTTCCCTCTGTTAGTGCGATCATATATCGGAATTATGTCTTCCTTTTGTGACAGAATCATTTATACTTGTAATCATGTTAGATTTGTTAATTCGTCTATCTCATAATTTTCAAAGTACTGTAAAACTAGTCATACGCTGTTTCAATAAACTTAGCTACCTTTGGATAAGAACATTTTCCTTTTTGAATGTATTTTTCTACAGTTACTCCTGTTAAACTCTGACTGCGTGAGCATCATGTGTGTTTATTTAGAATATCACAGATAAGCTACTAGGACTTAACCCTTTATTATCCCAGCGAGGGACTAGCATCTAATTCCTCTCCCGAGGAATAAAGGAAATGATAATCAACTGAAGAACCTCTTGATTGTTAAAAAAATTCTCCTTGCCAGCGCATAAGAAAATGTATAGAGAACAGTATGGAGAATATGCATACTGATGTTAGGGTGTAAAGGATTAAATAATGATATTTTTTTTTTCAGGCCCTAATCACCCAATGAAACCTCACAGACTTACTTTAACCCATAATCTTGTGTTCAACTATGCTCTTCATAAGAAGATGGAGGTGAGACCTCTTTAAATTTGTCTCAGTTTGTATTTTGGGGTTCTATATCTATTTTGGTCTTTTAATTTGATGTTGATTTATGAAATATTTATAGTTAAGTTGTTTACTAAGCATGAACTTTTAGGAGCTTGCCTCATGACTACGCAGGCCCTTCAATATTGTTGCCTTTGAATGCTTTGGGAATTAAAAACACTGGCATCCATATTTGCTGCAAATGCAGTTGGTGTCCCTTGGTTCAGTGGTCATTCTGCAAGCCATTGCTTAAACACTAAGGGTCAGTTATTTGTACATGGTCTAACCCAAACCACAGTTTTATACAATCAGTGGACCTCCTGCTCTCTCTATAAGAGGATTGATTTGATTAATTACTTAACCCCTGAGAGAAACTAGCATTTAATTTCTTCTCAAATTCATCATCATCATCATGATCAGGCCAAGCTTGCTTGGTATCGCATGACACACTCCCTCAACCTTCACCTCCATCTCCACCTTCACGTTAACACCCACAAATCACATATTAAAGTCATGAGAATAAACAAGATGATCACCAACTAAGGAAGCTCTTGATTGCTACACAAATTCTCCTTGCCAGTACCTTAGGAAATGTATAGAGAACAGTATAGAGATTGTCCATACTGATGTTGGGGTGTAAAAAGGGTTGAGTAACTGTCCCTCCACTGTGAGCTTTCAGCCCTTTTGACACTGTTGAAAGTTCAGATTAAATATCCAACTAAATTGAGGGTTGTTTTGTTAATCAACAGTCAAACTGTGTTTAAATGATCAGAAGTGTTTATGGTCAAAACTTTTAATGAAAAAAACATTTTCAGACAATGGTATGGCAATGGTAACCCTTTGACCCTCAAGACTGACCAGCATTTAATTTCTCCCTACAATATCAGCCCTGAATCACACATTAAGGTCATGAGAATAAAGGAAATGATCACCAACTAATGCAGCTCTTGATTGTTAAACAAATTCTCCTTGTCAGAGCCCTCAGAAATGTATAGAGAACAGTATAGAGAATATGCATACTGATGTTAACACCATGTAAAGGGTTTAATGTGCAATTATTTCAATCATTTTTCCAGCAACTAGAATTTCACTTTAATTTCTGCCACTTTTTTAAGATTTTAGCTCATCTGATGGGCAGGTAGAAAAATTTGAGCTAGGATACCCCAGGTACAGTGAATACTGTTTACTTGGGGAATCCAAAGTCTATGCAGTCTGTACAATCTATTCAGTCAAACCATTCCCACAAGGAATAGGAGGGTGACTGTTTAAATATTACAAGTTGATCGCTAAAATACAAGTTCTCTAGATTGGGGGTATTATACAAAATGACAACCAATGCCATTTTATGCCATAATTGAGCCATTAATGTACAGAATCTCACTTGAAAATACAACATACTTTGATTTTGGGAGAGAAATGTGGATGAAAAGTAATTGCTTGAAAAATTATTCTTAGTTTTATTTGAGTGATCCCACTTTCAGTAACCTTTCAATACAAGTTGAGGACAGTACAAAGAGATTACCCTCAGAGGGTAACCATAGCTGGTTAACTCTCTAACTCCCAGATAAAATTTGTAATTCTCCTTACAGTCAAACATACAATATGTATAATGTTAGTTATGAGAATTTAGTATTGGATCAACTAATTATCCCCAAATTGATATTTTTCTTTATTCTCATCACTTATCTGGTTGATATTGTATTGATATTGTAAGGAGAAATTCTGTGTTGGTCACTCTTGGGAGTTAAAGGGTTTATAGAGGTGACCACTTCATAAAGGTATTGATTACAATTATTATGAGGAGACAAATCTGGGATTTTAACAAGTGACTGCTTAATATAGGGCAATGGCTTAATACCATGCTGCTAAATACAGGTTCGACTGTACACATTTCCTATTTATCTACAGGTGTACAAGCCTTATAGGGCAACTTATCATGACATGTGCAGATTTCATTCCAGTGACTACATACAATTTCTACGAAGGTGAGTGGTACCAGAACTCTAAGAAATTTCATGCTTCTGAATCTAGCATGATTTCCAGCTGTCATTCTCCTAAATTTGCTAATGTTTTAATCTACATGTATGTTTCTGCAAGTTTTATTTATTCACTGTCTTGGTCTTGTTTTGATCATTGCAGGGTAACACCACAAAACACAGGGCAGAACAAAACATTGAACAACTTTAATGTTGGAGAAGACTGGTCAGTATTTTCCATCTTTTGTTTCAGTTATTTTTTCCTTCTGTGTTTATTTTTCTTTTTAATGCCAATACCTTATTCTAAAACTGTGAGGAAATCTCTTGTTAAAGAGAGTGACTTCATTATTTTTGATACACGTAACTCACATATGTCATCCTATGCAATTCTGGAAACATAGAAAGGTTCTGTATGTCTAAATTTTACTAAATTTTATTGAAAATTGAAACCTTCTCATGGAAGTGAAACCATTGATACTGATAGATAACAACTTCCATGTTTAAGCAGAGAATAGGAAACCATTATCTGAGTTTTCTTACAAGTAATTTTTTTTTTCTACAGCCCTGTGTTTTCTGGCCTGTTTGACTTCTGTTCTATTTATACTGGTGCTTCACTTGAAGGTGCAGTCAGGCTTAATCAAGGGGTAGGTAAAAAATAAGATATAGAACAGACAATTTCATAATTCTGAAGAACAAAAGGTCTTATTTCAAAAGGTCTTATTTCAACTACTAGTTCAGTACTTGTTCTTTGCTGCAAGGATCTCTTATATTTGTTTCTTCACCGCAGTGCACACATATGAATTTCATATATCTAAAAAGATGGTTTTTTTTGCCAATTTTGAGGTTTCTATTGTTTAAACAGGTTTGTGACATTGCTGTCAATTGGGCAGGAGGCTTGCATCATGCAAAAAAATGCGAGGTGAGCTTGTTGAAGTGTTAACTTTATGTTACTCATTTTTTTTAAGGTTACCTAAGAATCAGAAATTTATATGTAGTAGTGCTGTATCACTTTTGTTGTGGTCAGATTAGCCCTTTGATTCCCAAGATCTGATTGTAAATTCTCCCCTCTATCTACTGCACATTACCTTGCAAATTAGTAACAAGAATTTAGTGTTAAATCAGGATAACAAGTTATATTTGTCAGTGATAAGTTTGAGAATTCTTGTTTCCTGTTTGCTGAATAATATATTTTTATTATAGGGAGAAGTTACCTAATTGATTGTTAATTTTTTACGGGGAGCTAAAGGGTTAAGTGTCAAAGTTCACTTTTTTTTTCTCAAGTGTAGTAAGTTCATTCTAGGGACCAATCACAGAGTGAAGTATAGGAAAGCCAATGCAATTCTGGATTACTCTCACCGTTCAATGAAAAATGGTTCTGGAACAGCTGATCCTAATATTATGTGTTGTTCTCTGTTTAGGCATCAGGATTCTGCTATGTAAATGACATTGTGGTTGCAATACTAGAACTGTTAAAGTGAGTGATCCATGAAATTTAGTTCCATGTAGTGATATTTAAAACATTTTCTCCCTTTTATGTGTTTGTTTGTTTGTTTTTTAATACTGTTTTTGAATAAAAGAACATGCTGGGCTGTAGGAGATATACAGGGTTTGCATGGGTCCTGAAAAACCTGGAAATCCTGGAATTTTTTATTGAAAAAGACTACAGGTCCTGGAAAGATTTGGAAATCTGCTTAACTCAAGCAATTAGGTTCTCAGAATTTACGTTATAACAAATGTATGTAAACCGTAAGGAGAATTGATTTTGAATATTGGGAATGGAAAGGTTTATTGTGAAACTTGAAGTCCTGGGAAAATCAATCTGAGTGATGGAAAAGTCTTTGAAATTTGTTTTCCTGAAAAAGAGTACAAACTCTAGATATATATATTATGTATGATAACTTATCATAAGTACCCTTTGATCTGCTGTTTTACTCAGTGATTTTCAAGTACAGGTACATTTTAGCTAACATCGAGCATTGTGAGAACATGTTCAGTTTGCACGTTACCTACCACTGTGTTTGACTTAGGGCATACTCTTTGCTTTAATTCAGGTATCACAACCGTGTGTTATACATTGACATCGACATCCACCATGGTGATGGAGTACAGGTATTACATTTACATCCCTAATTTGTATCTGTTAAAATCTAGAATTATTTAGAATTGGGAAAAATCTTCTATGAACTGTTTTCAATGGAAACTGGATTGTGCGATTTTGAGAATGAGTAAACCAAAAGAAATACCTATTTCATATGGTATTCCTTTGTGTAAACTAACAGTTTGCATGTTTTTACATTGTGTGTATAATCCACTTGTAGGAAGCCTTTTATTTGACCGATCGGGTAATGACGCTGTCCTTTCACAAGTATGGAAACCAATTCTTTCCGGGAACTGGTAAGTTTGGATACAGTGCCGCCCAAAGTGAGTTGACCGTCTCGACTCGAAACTCGATATTCGAGTCTATTGAGAATCGAGGATTGAGAATCGAGGCTCGAGTATCGAGTATCGAGTATCGAGGATTAAGAATTGGGGATCGAGACACTATCATGACGGTCTCTTTCAGATTGGAAACTTTACCATGAGATATCAAAAAAATAGTTGATAGATTGCTAAAGACATAAATCTTTAGTTCAGTCGTCAAATAAAGATGATATTCCTAGTTGTTGCAAGCGCAAGACAAAGACATTGTAAGCAAAACACCTGTCACTTAGCACTCCAGAGTGTTCTCGGTAACTCAGTAATAAAATGAGGTAGCATATAATGCAAAGTTGTGGACTTGGATTCCTTATCAGTGGGATTTAGATTTTTCAGGAAATAAACAGTTAGACCATGACCTATATTTGTTTATCTGCAGGAGACATGTTTGAATTAGGAGTTGAGAACGGACGATACTACTCACTAAATGTTCCTTTGAGAGATGGAATAGATGATCAAGGTACAACTCTTAATTTCATTCTTTCAGGGATGAAATCTTTTCCCGTCGTTCACATGACCGTAGTTCTTTTCCTTAGTTTACATTTCTCCACTTTACACGTGCACTTGTCCCCTTTCGAATTCATACCTTTCCCTTCACAAAAATCGTCTTTGATTTGTCAAGAGAACCACTGTAACTTAACTTCAACTAATACAGCTCACCTTGGTACATACAACATCTAAAAGGTTTAAAATGATTTACATTTTGTAGCCAGGTTCACTTCTTGTGTGGACAACTTTGTTGTAAGGAAATTCTTATCGTTGTGGGTGCTTGACCAAAACCCCAAAAAGTACCCAAGAAGAAATAAAAATGCATGTCTTACGGAGTTATTTCACGTGGTTAAATGTGTGTCATGCGCTTTCTCAATCTTTCCTTTAACAGGTTACGCCAATCTTTTCAAGCCCATAATGCAGTCAGTTGTGAACCACTATCAACCAAGCTGCATTGTTCTACAAGTAAGAATCACAAAAACGTTCTCGTCATCATTCAGCGTTTTGATTTCCGTGATAATTGATAGCCTTCTCATAAACGTTGTGAAAGTCTGATGTTGCAATGACAAAGTTTTCTGATCAGTAAATATTGTAATCGGTATTAATCTCTTTTATACGCATTTAGTAGCATGAAAAAAGTTTTGGTCTCATAGAAGCGCTCTTACACAATTCTTACAACTCACGTCAAGTACATTTTAAAGCATACTGTGTATTGTATTGGCTAGATATCATGTTAGTATCTTTCGCGCAGTTTTAAACAGTAATCACTGTGGTCTTTCTCTCTTAATTTTATTATTGCAGTGTGGTGCTGATTCACTTGGGTGCGATAGACTTGGTTGTTTTAACCTCAGCATCAAAGGACACGGGTAAGAATCGTGGAGTTTAATCTACATCTTCTGTAACTAGCAGGAGAAGTGGCGGCCGAGTTTTTAGCGTAATAATTGACAAAATGCATATGACATGGAGATCTGGATGACTCTTTGTTTTTTCTGAAAGCCATGTTCAAACTCTGGTCACTGAGTTTTGTTCTTTGGAAAAACACTTCACTCTAACAGTGCCTCTCTTCACCCAAGTACTGGAATAATGAAGAAAAATGTTTTTCGTCTTATCACGAGCGTGGGACAAAGTAAAAATTTTGAGTCCCCATAAGGAATCGAACCTCAAACCTTCGGATTTCGTTCTCCGATGCTCTACCACTGAGCCACAGAGACTCTACGGTGACCGAGGTCTATTACGAACTGAAGTTCATATGACACGCGTCCTGCATACTGCTATGATCAGCAATGTCGTTAGCGTCATGTTTTGAAATAATAGTACTGGAATAGTGTCTTGCAGAAATGGGACATTTGGTTTTTAAGACATAAGTTCTTACCAATATGGTGACAAAAGGGCTGAAGCTGAAAATATCAGCTCTAGAAACTCTTTACAGTGGCCAGTTCACGTTATCAACTCAGTTGATGAAATCAAAATATCTTTTGTTATCAATTGCTTCCAGCGTCCAAAGTTTCTCAGCAGCAGCTGATATGTTTTTTTAAATCCATTTTCAGCGAGTGTGTTCAATTCGTGAAGACCTTTAACCTTCCAATGTTGGTTCTCGGTGGTGGAGGATACACCATTAAGAATGTTGCCCGGTGCTGGTAGGTTTTGTTATTGGCTTTCTGTGATCTGGATAGCTTTGATTGTGATGGAGCGCTGTTCGATCGGCTGTCACAGACCAAAACCATTTAAGGTGACCGCATTGGTTGATTGGAAAATCACAACGAACCACAGAGAAAATGCGAGTGGCCATGATACGATTATTTTGCGCTTTGGATTTGATTGGTTGAAAATTTTTCGACGAATCACGAAGAGCAGTCCCCGACTACCTTCAACACTCAATCTAGTGTATTTGGCTAATTCGCTGGAAGATTGGTTTTTTAGATTTGTTTCTGTAGTCCAAACGTAATCCACATCGGAAGTGAGCACATTGTGAGAAAAGCGATCAGACTTCATTGCTGAAAAAAAAAAAGATATACCTCTCTTGTAACGTACAGAGCCGTTGCACGTCTCCTGAGTTTTTCACTGCTGTTCCTTTTATTTTCATCCTGTTTGAAGGGCGTACGAAACATCGCTTCTAGTGGATCAGGAAATCTCAAGTGATATTCCTTATAACGGTAAACTGATATCAAGCCTGAGTTAGTTAACCCTTTAACTCCCAGATCAAATTTGAAATTCTCCTTACTGTCAACCATACAATTCTTATAATGTTAGTACAGAGAATTTAGTATTGGATCAACTTGTTATCCCCAAATTGATATTCCTCTTTATTCTCATCACTTGTCTGGTTGATATTGTATTGGTATTGTAAGGAGAAATTCAGTCTTGGTCACTCATGGGAGTTAAAGGGTTAATAGCGATATATGGTCCCTAATTCTGCTATGATAATCGAAGAAAAAGACCTTTCCCTTAATCAGCCAATTAAAAGCGTGCTCTGAGTGAAATTTGGGGCGATTAGGTTAACGAAGAACAGTTTTAATGTCGCAGTGCTTAAAGATTGAATAACTTCGCTATATAAAAAGTTATTGAAAAAAAATGTTTTTCGTCTTTTTACGAGTTTGGGACAAAGGAAAAATTCTGAGTCCTCATGAGGAATCGAGCCCCAGACCTTCGGATTCTGCGCTCCGATGCTCTACCGCTGAGCCACAGAGACTCTATGGTGAGCGAGGCCCATCACGAAGTTCTTATGACACGCGTCCTGCACACTGCTAGGGTGATGCTATGTACATTGCTGATCCTAACGTTTGATTCGATTGCTCGATTCACCCACACAGACTATTTGGAGTATTTCGCGCCAGACTTCTCCCTGTATCCAGACATCGCAGCCAGAATAGAGAATCAGAACACAAAACAGGTAAGTTTGATGTTGGCTGATTCAAAATTAAATTTACAAATAAATTATGCAAAGTAGTGGTGTTCAGCAGTTCAAACGTTGTCCACAATTTAATTTTTTTTTTCTTTCAGTACTTGGACCATATAAAGCACACTGTCATAGAGAACATTAAGTGCCTAACAGGCGCTCCCAGTGTACAGATGCAGGAGGTCCCCCCGGATTTCATGTGCTTGGAAAGTATGGAAGAACAGGAAGACCCTGATGGGAGACAGGAGGACGACCCAAGGTAACGTAGGGGGAAAGGGCGGTGTTAGAGCTTAGTAAAGCTCGGTTTCAAGCGCCTCCCTTCTTCTTACTTTAAGAGAGAAGGGGTTGAGATGTCTTTTTGGGATCAGTCAAATTTATCGCCTGGGACGGGGGGGAGGGGGCCTAGGGTCACATGGCTTTCAGAGGGAACGGAGGGAAGATCAGTCGTTGCTAACAGTTTAAGGGGGGGGGCTTGGAAATTTGACTGCCAATGAGAAGGGATCATTAGAATACTAGAGAGCCTTAGAGGAGGGTGGGGAATCAGTTAAATTTTATCATGACACAATTAAAATCCCTCTAAACCCCCTCCCCCCCCCCCCCCATTCGCTTCCAGGCGATTGAAAATAACCGGTCCCTTACGAGTATTCTCCTATTCCTTCACACAGATTTGAAGGGGAATTTTATGACGGCGACCATGATGTTGACAAAGAAGACGCTTATGTCGAGGTGTAAAATGTTGAAGGAAGCAAGACCTTTTTGTCCGCGAACTAACAGCCTCGTAGGCTTTGAAGGTGTGGGTGCTTGTGAAAGCGACCATAGGGGATCCGTAAAGAGCTAATGTTTTCCAAAAGAAACAAACAGAAAAAAACAAACAACCACTTCTACAACAAGGAAAGCAGCTGGAGACCATGTTTGCACGGTGACAAACGTGTACTTCAGGAACGTTTCATACGCTGTCCCCAAACGAGAAACCGTTGTGTTCATAACCGATGTACAGATATTTCAAACATAAAGTAGTGATATTTGTGTATTGTAGAGGTGTGTGCCTCTGTTTGTGTATTGTAGAGGTCTGTTCCTCAGTTATTAAAGACATGTCGGATTTGAATAAAGTACACACAAGTTGCAGTCGTTTTAGCGACGACGGACACAACAATTTTTGTGACGATGAAAATATAAGAAACAACCGCTGCCATGCAAAATCTGCGAAAAAAAAATGTCTCTAGAAATCTGTTTGAGGAAACAAAACTTGGGATACACCAAGTCGATTTGGCATTTTGTTTTGAGCTTTTGTGGATTCGCAAATCAAGTACAACCTTCAAAAGCTACATTTCTAAACGGGTATTGATTCAAAATTAAGAGAATCGGACCCCGTTGATGAGAGCAGGATTAAGCTAACCGAAAGTTAGCCAAAATTTTTTTTATTTAGCTTTGTAGCTCTGCGAACAGTTTTAAATGTTCATATTTATTCTTCAGTTACGTCTTACGTAAGCTGTAACATACACTTTACTTCAAGAGAAATTAATTAAGGACACGATAAATTTTTTATCCTGCATGGATTATCGCCAACGGAATTTCGAAAAACCGGCCCCCGGGAAGTGTGGAATTCCTTGCAGTTTCCTTCCTCTTTATTCCGCCGGACACAATCGCGAAATTAAGTCAATTATCTTTCGCAGAAAGACGGATATCCTTTTCCCGAATATGGTAGCTGGGAAATAGCTGTAGTTGTTTCATAATCGAGACCTATACTGCTGTGACCCATAATTTTGTTGCTAAGAATACCTTCTGTAATAATCTTCTCAGGCGTGCGGTCTTATCGTACGGTCTTGTCTAGAAGGGACGTCAGATCGGCAGATGATCATGACCTGGTTCAGGGTCAATCAATTTAGGTTAATTTGCCTTATTACTGTCAAATGTATCTCCTTATAAAAAAATCTGTCAGACGGTTATAAGGAAAGTAAGTGGCCATAGGTTATTTTAGATAACCAGTATGTTTTGTATCGAGCATTGTTTGATGTGAAAGTTACTGGGGAAGAAAAGTGAAAAAGTAGGAAAGTTTTAGAGGAACATAAAGAAAAAGAGATCGTGGTATGATAATGTAACGAACGATACCAGTGATAATAAGCTGATGATGGAGTAACATTCTAAAGAAGAGTTGTTGAGGACAAAATTTTATAGTTTAGATGACCTGAAAAAGACAATTGTTCAACAAAGGAAAATGGTAAAGGTGTTTTAAATGAAAGATCTTTGGCACCGTTTCACTGAAAAGTATTGTCAGCAAAATCAGTACCTTGCATTAATCTAAATAAAGTTACGGCACGTTACAAGGAAATTTATAGCTTTTGTTAGGTCTCTCTCTCGGATTTTCAAACAGGGATCGCGGTGTCTCCCAGGGCGGAATCGCTGGGATCTGGTTAGATAAGGAACAGCTCGTCTTTTTCGCGCAAGAAATCAGCGGATGGCCGTAGGTAGGCGCGACGCGAACATCTTTTTTTCTGTCCTTTTTTAAAGAGTTCTCTCAGGGAAATTTTTTCCCGCTGATTGCGTTTTACTTGAGCCACGGATTTAGCTGCTTGTAGTATAAAGAGGGTAGAAAACGAAGCAAAACAAAACGAAAAAAACAACTGATATAAATAAGGAAACAAAAATGACAAATCCTCTATTTCCTGCCTTTTATCGCTAGCCACAAAGGCGCGCAACGATAAAACAGGAAACTAAAATCCTTTGTATTTTTGTGTAGCTTCTCCGCCTACATATCGTTCACGATTCCCCGGAAATAAACAAACGTACGGCTTTGGATGTTTTCATCTTAAAGTTTCTTTGAGATGGCGACGACAGCGGCTTTCGTTCGTCAAAACATTTAGAACAACCAACAGACGAGTTGATTATGTGCATTGGCATGCCCCGAGGGCTGTTCGTCTCCATTACATGAAACTGGCATTATCTTCGAGGCTCCGAGATATCTGCATTACACATTGTTGGGAACATCGAGCCAGACCGCCAGCAGCTTTAGAAAATGAGCTATCTACACGTATGTCTATTCAGGCAAAGATCAAAGCGCTTGATTTTTAAATACCCGTACACGCGTCAAATCAGAACTCCCTGCTGTGGTCTTACAGACTCATTTGTCTGGGTCACCTTATCCTTTCCTGACAGACAAATGACGTGGGTGTTTTGTGACGAAAGTTTACACCTCTCTATTACTATACCCAACGTTACCATCTGTGTGGGTTCACTTCGTCCTTGGGCTGCAAAATTAGGTCAAACGCTCATAATTACGAAACAAAACGCAAACAGAACGGTGTTTTTCGACCTTCAACTGGGGAAGTGCACGATCACTACCTACAGTGTACATTCGAAGGGGGAATATTTTTAGGGAAAGAAGTTCTGAGACATCGTAGGTAAGCTGTGAAGTTATCAATTCTTTATTAGCGAGGTATGGTTTTGGCTAGCGGGTGATGCTACACACTGCTGCGTTCTTTATGGTAAGTAAAGGTTTCACCATTAATTAAGAATGGGATCCAACGGCTATGAGCCGCAATTCAGCTCTTGAATTTTTAGCATTTCTGAATTGTTGGTGAGGTTCTTCTAAACACAAATTTGATTCCCAGATATCCTTCAGTTCCAAATTACATTCCCTCTACCTTATTGCGGATTGAGTCCTCATATTAAAAGAACTCAAGATTCCTACGGACTTTTGAGTCACTTTAAGGGGCTTTGAGCTTGAAATCCAAACAGAAGCAATGGGGATTCTCGTTAGGCGAGAATCCCCAAATCCCTGGAAAACGTAAAATCTATATAGCGGTAATCTGCTGGGTCATCTATTACGTTGCCATTGTTGATAAGGGCCTCTGGATTGATTTATACATTTTTAAGCGTTTACTATCAATTTGTGAAGACAGATTTGCCATTCTGCGAACTCCCATTACGCAAGAGGCCTTCTTTCTCTTGAAAACATCACCAAATGTCAAACGCGCGATCGGATCGTTTTAATCTAGTAAGTTCGCCTCGACTGTGTGCGAAACGATTTGGAAATTGCAAAAGCTTTACAGTATCAGATACAGGATTCATTTCTTGAAGTTAAATAGTCTCTAGCAAACAGATATTTCTATCGAGTACCTGCTCGTGATCATTGAAACATCATACATTGCGTCGATTTCTTGGGTAAACAAATTAATCACATTTTAATTACCTGCGTAACACTCTGCAAAGGTCAAATGGTTTACAAAGTGTCAAATAGGTATGAAAATAAAGAGAAAATCTGTTATTTCTCATAAAAATTGTGGGGTCTTGAGGAGCTAAACGTGCAGCAGAGAAAATCGAAGAAAGATTATGGTCGCATCCACATTAGAAGGCGGAATTACACGTACTCTTTCCTTCTCAAGAATTCACAGACGATCTTTCGAATAATTGTTCTTTGTCCTGCACCAGCATCGCTCACTATCATTCAATTGGTTTTCATCCTGATTGTCAATTTTCTCTTCGAAGTTATATATTTGCATTTATTTTATTTGTACGTTTATCGTCCAGTCCAGTACAATTCATCGGGCATCCGCATGAAGTCAAGTTCAGTCTAATTTTCATCCTTTCCAAGTTAAGCGTTGACCAATTGTTTACAATTTTTCCCTCCTGTGTCAGTAATTACCAGGGTAAAAGTCAACCAAGATGCTTTTTAAAGTCTGTTTTATCTATTTAAGCATCCTACCGCTTCTTGGTGAGTAAACAATTTTGATTTTCACGCAATTTTTTTTAAATGAAATTTTTCATGTCATGCATGCTGATATTGTTTGTATTTCCTCTCAAACTTTACGTTGGTTTTCATTCTACTGACTCAGAGGGCTTTGTGATTGAGTGGCGGAAAACCAAAAGCATAGTATTCACAATTGCCGATCAGAACACTAAGAGCCGATGAGGTCTTCGTTTCAAGCAAACTACCTGAAGCGCGAGAAAATGCGCGTAAGTAAGACATGAATGGTTTTAGTTTGCTTGATTGAGAAGATAGCGCAAGTGTTCTGGACAAAATAAAGATTGGCTTGACGACGGCGACTTTTGATTGATCCGTAGGAAAGCAAAACAAACGATTCATCTGTCCTAGTATTTTACATTATGTTATGAAGTTACCGTTTGGTATCAAATATTTTGACGAGAATTGATCGGTTTTTAATTAAACTTTGCTGGGAATCAAAACAGTTAATTAAAACAATCTGTTGTAACTTTAGTTACACGACAACATGATATTTCAAGGGTAAAGTAGAAACTTATTTGACTGCTTTCAGAGGCTGGTTTTTCCTTTGTCTTTTTATGATCGAAAACAGTCTCTTTCAGTTCAGCTTAGGACGATTTCAGTACCATCAAAACAAAACAACAGAAAGAAAATCTTTGAACTCTGAAGATAAATTATGTTATAACGTAACTTTGTTCCGATCGACTTCTGGAGGTAGAAGTGTTTATTATTAGTGCAGGAACATAACAGCCCGTCTTTCTCCCCAGCCTCTCTTCTTTTCCTCAAAGAAATTGTAAGAGAATGTAACTCAACACCCGGTTCTTAGTAAAAAATGCTGTGTAGCTCTTTCTGAGGCAAATTTCAAAGGAGAATTAAGAAATAGAAGTTTGCTGTTGTTTTGGTTTCGCTAACGTTTTGTGATTGGTCCAGAAAACTCGCACCCCACCTCGACCAATCAGATGCAAAAGTAAAACCAATTACTACCGGTCATTCTTGTTTTCCCGCGCTTCAGGCGATTTGTTTTAACTCTGAGATCTGATCAGCGTTTTCTGAGATCTTTCTTTGGTCTGATCGGCCGTTGTGACCACGTAGTTTATTTTGGTTTGGCTCCACGACATCCAGTTGAAAACCCTATGCAAAGCTAACGCTACTGCAAATTCATTCTCAATTTAAACTGATCCATACGTCTTCTACTCGGTCCTGTTTTCCATGGTGAAAACAAACAGGTAGATCTGGGGGAGGGAGAAGGGGTCAGGAACAAAACCATGCCCTAGGACAGGAGGGTTAACTCGTCTAGACACTTTGTTTTTACCTCGATGTCTCAATGTCTCGCCAACATCTCCATTATAGCCCGAAAATGGGCCACAATATCCGCTTTTTTCCGTATCCACTTAGCCAAGCGTAAGCCAGGGTCATGTGAAACTATGGGGCTATAGCGCGACACAAAGTCTCTTAGTGTTTTCGAGTGACTCCCGCTGGGTTCACATTTCTTCCTCCTGACTTAAAAGAAACTAAAATGACCGTTATGCAGCTGCCTGAAGACTTAAGCTTAAAGGGATTCTTTTCTTTTTTTTCGGTGGCAGGCGAATCATCTTCATCTTCGACTGATTTTGGTGAGTTATAGTTTCTGTGGCTACAATGTTTTTCTTCGTTGATAGAGTCCTCTTAGCAACCTCACAGGAAAATAAAGGTAGATGTTGACGATGCTGTCGAGTTTTTCTTAAAAAAAATCATCGGCGGATATCGTGTTCCATCCAACGGTCAGTGTAATTCTCCTGGGAATAAGTGGGCCACCAACCTTGCAAGCTGTTGTTTTTTTTGCTGCGTTTTATAGAATAATGTTGTTTTGATCGTCCAAGAGGAGGGTTGTGTTCTGTAACGTCATTGAAAAAAACAAGCAAGATTTTCACCTTCTTGAATTCCCTTCGAATTTGACCACAATATGAACGATTGTCGAAGAAGTCTTGAGATGGCGTCATTTAACTTTTATTGAAAGAAAGTTTTTAAACATACACTGTTAACTTTTTTCCTTATTCAGCTTTTCCTCAGGATTGTGGGCTCAGAAAAATACGAAACAGTAAAGTCTCACGCGTGAAAAGGATTGTGGGTGGCTCCCAGAGTTCTCAGGGGAAGTGGCCCTGGCAGGCTGCCTTGTTTTTTCATGGAACCCACTACTGCGGCGGCGCAATCATCTCTGACACCTGGATATTAACTGCTGCTCATTGTTTCAGTAAGCAAAGACAAAAGAGACTCGGAACTTCTGACTTCAATAGGCAGAGAATTCTAAACTGTTTGATATCCGTTCTACAAATATGAGGTCGGAAATTGTAGGTTTTTCTGGTATGATATTTATGTAAATCACCACTTCGGGTGAAGAGCTGAGAGAGGGGAAAGGAAAAAAGCTGTGAATAGACCGTGAGAAGACTGTGAGTAACTGTGAGTTGTTCCACAACTGGGCTCCACTGTATGAACAACTTTCTGCAGGTGATCAGTGCGCGCTTCAGGAAGAAAGAGCTAATTTGTTCGCTAACAAAACGCGTTCATGTTGTCGCGGAAAAAGGAACATTCGATCGTAAATATTCCGGTGGCATCCCATGTAAGGTCTTATACATCATGATAGCTCTCTTTTCCAATCTTTGATGATCAGTTTCCGCCAGAGTAGCAACACTCTTGGTACTTCATGAAAAGAAAACTGGCATGAGCTTCAGCATGATGGATGGGAGAAGGGGAGGGGGGCTAGCAGATGGAGGGGAGAATGGGGAGAATCTGCGATGGTGCCATCCCTTATAAGGTTTTATACATTATGATAGCTTTCCTTTCCAATCTTTGATGATCAGTTCCCGCCAGAGTGGCAACACTCTTGGTGCTTCATACGAAGGAAACTGAGATAAGCTTCAGCATGATGGATGGGAGGGGGGAGGGAACTAGCAGAAAGCAGGGGGGGGAGTGGCGGTACTCTTATTGCTTCATGCTAAGGAAAGCTGGATACTCCCTTGCAATATGAGGATCAACAGCTTCTTACTTTTTCAATTTTTATCCCAGATCCCAGCACATCCAAAAATCCTGCTGACTGGACAGTAGTCCTTGGAGATCATCACCGCGTAAAACGAGAAGACAAGTTTGAGCAAAGACGGAACGTGATCAGCATCACAGTCCACGAAAACTACAAATCCATGTTCTTTGAGGGAATTGAGGATACTCCACCCATGAATGACATCAGTAAGTTACAAATCTATGGTGAAGGATCGGTTAAATCAATAACTGAATAAACGTAAATAAATTTTCAGTAAATCTTTTATTTTGGATAATTCGACTACTAGCCACTGATGCTTGTACAGATTTTTGCTGAGTTAAGATATCGATAAACTACGGCCTATACTTAGCTCTTATCGTGTACCTGATTGCTCAAGGACGAATGCGTAAATAGGTCAAAGGGTGTACCATGGGATTTATGTTTTGAGATCTCTCGAGCTCGTGCTTTTGACGATAAGTAGAAAATATGAACCTATAAAAACGAAGAACGTAATGCATTAGAACAACGAGAGACGAGGATGGTTTAAAAGAGGGACATTTGACAAGGATTGCAAATGACATACTTCAAAACATTACGCTTATTTTTTATTTTAAGAACTAAATACCCTGAAGTAGCTGATTCAAGGTTGGGTGACTTAGCACTTTGCATACTATGACGTCACGCGATTTCTCTGTGGGAAGGTTTCATTTTGTACTTAGACATGTTAAACACAAATCGCACTATTGCTGTCAAATTAGGACTTCATCGAGATGAATTCCCCTTTGACACATGGCAGAGGTGCGAGCGCTTTCTAGGAGCTGCAGAATGCTGATTTAAGAGGCCAGTCGTCTTGTAGTCTCTAAAACAAACTCATGATCAGCGATGGCAGGAGCCATTAAAATGGCTCCTAGCATGGTTAACGCTTACTCAAAACTGTCTCATGCAGGTCCTTCTTCTATTGCAGCGATAATGAAACTTGACTGTCCAGTTACATTCAATGACTACGTACAACCAGCATGCTTGCCACACCCAAGTCACGTGTTCGCTCCTAATGAGGAGTGCCACGTGGCTGGGTGGGGTTACACAGAGTGGAATGGGATACAACCTGACATTCTACGTGATGGTAAAGTTAGAATCATTTCTCGGGAGGTGTGTAACCAGGAAAAATCCTATAACGGGACGATTCACGGGACCGCCATGTGTGCAGGACATCCCGAGGGTCGAATAGACGCATGCGAATATGACAGCGGCGGTCCGCTGGTTTGTGTGAAGTGCGGGCGTCATTACGTCGCGGGGTTGGTTTCGTGGGGCGATCAGTGCGCTCTACCAAACAAGTATGGCGTTTATGCAAATATGACAGTGCTCACACCCTGGGTTAAGGAAAAAATCGGCAAATTTGAAAGGGATAGCTCTGCAAAAGCATCAAAAAATATGTAACCACTATAAAAAAAATTCGTGAAAGCGCATCATTCGTTCCATGCGCTTGAAACAGGAGAGGAGATCAGGGAGCCTGAAACGTGATCTAGAGCATAAGGTTGAGGCTTATTGCTGAATTTCTCGGGAAAAAATAAACAAGAAGCCGAACAAAGCTTTCTCTCGCGAAGAGTTTTATTTCAGTTTCTTTGTCTGTCTGATTGTTTGCAATTTTTAAAGCCCCGTTCAAACGGTTATAGTTGATAGTTGATAGGTGATAGTTGAGGATATTTTCAACTATCACGCGTGTTTGAGCACGAACTGTCACTCTCATCGATTATCACGTACTTTGGACATTTTCAAGTTCGCATGATTGTTGATGAAAAATTTCCGTGTGAACTAGCGGATGATAGTGAATGATTTTCGGTCAGCAGTTTGCTAAAAACTGTCTTAAACTGAAATAGAAAATAGTAAAATGACAGAAGTAGCCGTCAAAATTTCGCATTAAATCTCTTGGAGTTGATTCTCATTGCCTCCTGAAAGGCTTCAGTAACTTTAACTCGCAGCTTGACTAAAAATTTCAAATGCCACCGAAATAGCTGACCTCCGCGCGTGCATATTTGTTTACAGTTACGCGATCTCATCGCGTGATTTTGTCAACTATCATGATCGGTTTGAACGCAAACACGATAGGCAGTGATAGTGAATGATAGTTTGAACTATCATAGACTATCATCTACCAGCATCACTGTTTGAACAGGCCTTAAGTTTCTGTCAGGAGTGAATTTTAGTTTTGCGTTAGAACCTCGAGATAGCAAATGAGTCCCGTTTTCATTTGCTCCACCAGTTTCCTCGCTCATAATGAACTTGCGCATGAGTGGAACCTTCCTTTAAAAAATTGCTCAGGGGTGGGGTCAGGAACTTTGCAGTTCATATTTGTGTTTCAATAATGATACTAACGCACTGAATTTGTAAAGTACGTGAACAAATACTTCCTCAGTTAACAACCTTTGCTCTTTGTGTGTTCAGCATCTGTAAGAATTCTCTACATCGGCTCTAAATAATTTTAATGCAAGCTTTAGGACTGTCAGTTATGGTTAAAATAGATTCTGTAATCCATACTAACCTACAAAAAAAGTATAGTGTCATATGTAGACTAGCCCTTTCAAGTTCACACGACTCAACGAATTTCACTTTAGCCCCGGCCTGATGATCTCACTTTGGGAAATCTCAATCTTTTCAGCGAGCTAAGATTTCAGCCAGATTTCCGTTTATTTGATGGGTGGCGAATTAACAATCTGAGACCTCCAAGATGCCGAGACCCCTGTTGGAAAATCCGTCATCGTGACTTTAGAATTTGAGCCGTACAACCCTCTGTTAGTCCCGTTCCTTTCCCAGATATATATATAAATATCATTGCAAGGTAACCGATCATGATCAACAGGAGGAAAGGGAATTTTGACAGATGCGATACCCTATTTCACCCCCGTTGTGTCGATACATCAGCCTTTGGATCGTAGTTTTTCCACACGACAACGATCTCTCACAGACTTTCGTCCTCGGTTCACAAGTATAACGCTGAGTTACTCTAGTCGTGGGTATAAGGACAACTTCTAGATTTCGAGAACTTTGGAAGAAATGCGATACTTGGGAAACCCAAGGCCGTCGAGATTTCGAGATTGGATAAAAATAAATAAATAAAAAAAAAAAAAAAAGAATATTGTGGTCCGTAATTTTGGCAAAGCAGCATCCGCCATCCTAGAGAAATTAAGGCTACGGCTGAAGAGAATAACAAAGCGATATGCGCCTTTATGGTGAATGCTGGTGACCAAGTACGAGTGTTCAAATTGTTTTAAACTCGGTTACTGAATTGAAATGATTTGCCGCACTGAATTTTGAAAAACAAGGCCTTTTGATTGGATTTATGAGAAGTCCACTTAAAAGGAGATCGATTAACACCTATGAACGCGCGCGTGGAGAGAATCTGATAGTTAGGTATGAAGATTAGAAGCACAATGCTTTTAGCAACATCTTTTTAATCGTTCAGAGAACAGAAACAAAAGATAGATTTATCCGATTTTGCTTTGCATGTCTTGACTACAGATGTAACTTAAGCGATAAAGTAAACAAGGTTTTATTGAGAGTGTCAATGAGGCCAACAATCGATTAATGCTTAAATTAATTTGGTTAGGAAACGGAAATCGCTCATCTAGAAGAAAGAGTTCAAGGTCCAGATTTTTTAATAGATCTTTGGTCAAAGTTGGGCTGTTTTGCATGCTGTTTTCCACTGTTATATTAAATTTCTTCTGCTTACGCGGTATTTCTTTCTACAACAAACGCAGTAATAACATCCTCCCCGGAATTCTCCTGGGATTTTGACTGTTGACTATTCCGAAAGGAAGGAAATCATTCTATATTCGTCAGCGTCTTCTTGGAAGACCTTAAGTCAGGTGTATGAATGAACTGAGGCCTTTCATCTGTTATGTTACAAAATTCAACATTTTCCGAACGGTAGGGATATTTCCGAGATCGTTTAATGACCTAAAATACGAGGGGAAAACTTCTACCCGTGGGATATTTACCAGAAAAGCCCTTCTCTCGCCCCTACAGCTTTTTGCTGAAGGGAAATATCAAAGTTTCAGTTGACATTGTGATAAATTTTACAAACTCTCAATATTTCTCCCCACTGTTTTTTCAAGCTGAGGAAAATATGTTCTTTCTTGCCGTTAAAGACGTGTCAAATTCACCCACGCTACAATCCGTAAGGTTACTTGAAATCTCGCAAGATCTCCGTCCCTTACGAAGATATTGGGATGGAACGTTTCAAATGATTTGGTCATAAAAGGTAGCTTCTACTACAGAACTTATAAATATACTGCTGATCACAAGATGACCAAGTAATGATGTGATACAAATTATTTAAAGTTATTTCGGTTCATTTCTCTTTCAATTTCTCAGTGATGTTGCGAACGAAATGAAATACACTGCTTAACGAAACCCGCTCTGTTATCTAAATTTTTTGCATTTCAATCTATGAACTCGAGGGTAGCCAAGCAACTGAGCATAAGATCTATGTTATTGCATAAGGAATGAGATTTACGTGCTCCTTGAAGCAAGGCTTCAATACTTAAAATAATGGAATTCTTTACATGTCAGAAACTGACCCTGATCAAATAAAGATTTACTGCGATCAATTTCATAGATAAAGGTATCTAGAGATTCAAGATTCTTCTGTTTTCTCTGCAGGAAGTGGATCCGACCCTTAAAAAAAAAATTCGATTGAACTTTTTTGCCCCCAAATGATAAGTTCTGACAACGCTTTAATTAACCATGAGCAGGAAGGGTGAATATTTGAAATAAGGACCTTAGCGGTAGGTGGACTATGATTCAAAAATAGCCCGCGTACGCGCGGCATACGCGCACGAAAATAACGAGCGTCACTCAAACAAACGTGGATGCGCCTTTTTGTTACGGAAGGAAAAAAAATCTGCTTGCGACCTCAGTTGTACACTGAAAGCGTTTTCATACCTCTCTTAAATGGTTAATTCTACTAATTTGGCCGTGAAAAAAGGAGAATAAAATGAAGATAATCTGATCTATCAGGGTCGCGTCATCTGGATTAATTTGCTTCTCAATTTTGCTGGTGTTTTTTTTTTTTCGTTAATTGATGAATTTCCGTTATGGAATCCGTCACGTTCATGCCTGCTAATTTTTTTTCCAGGTCTCATTATCAAATCGATTTTTTTGCATGAAAACCCTAAGCTCAATCTATCACAATTTAGGGGTAAACAAGCCAGACGGAATTTGTGACAACACATTCTTTAAACCTTTAATGTGTTATTCCCAAAGATTTGTGAACAATGCCCAACGAAACAAAAACAGAATTTTACACTTTAAACCCTGAAGCTTATCATGCCCCTTGTGAGCTGTCAATCACGTGGAGATGTACTTTGGAAAAAAGCCCAGGTTGTTCTTTATTGATGAGCCGATAAATGCGTCCCATAGGGCAAATGACGAGATGAAATTTCATTCCTGTTGAAACACGTTCCTCTTCTGGCTATAAATACATTGACACCTACCAGAAAAGCGCTCTTTCCAGGAGGTTAGCCGGCGACTGCAAATATGAAGGTGTTCGCTCTTCTCTTGTTCGCTGGAGTTTCTCTTGCACACTATCGAGGTAGTACAGCTATCTACTTTGTATATCTTGCATAAAAATGGAAGAATTTTTATAGGTTATAGAATAATTTTTACTTAAAATGTCCCGGCTATTCTTTAGTTCGCATGTAGAGTCCTAGGACAGTTTATGTAACGGTGTCCAGCAAAGCAAATAGAGGTGCTTTCTGGACCATTAACAGCTCAATCTTCTCGCATTTTTTCAGCTATACAATGCGACAAAGAGCGGAAGATATAAAAAATTTGCAGAACAAGCTACCAAGCAATGTTATAGCTAGAAGAAGCCCTCGAAGAAATTTTTTTGGGAACGATAAAGAGGCGGTCAAGGGCGGGGTTAATCCATTGCTTGTTGAAGCAAATATGTTCACCTCTTAGGGTACGAATACCAATTGAATAGCTTTCTTATTGCCTGATTGAAATTCTTCTCGAAAATTGCAGGTAATCACGTAAGGCAGAGGGGTACCTTTCTACAGGAAACTCGGGTGAACGGTAAGAATTGCTTACAAAGCAAATTTTTTAAAATTCTGTTTTGTTCTAATGATTGCGGAAATTTTTGTCGAAAAGCTATGAAATTTATCAAAAAGCAAATCGATTCACTTGGCGAAACGCAGCTCACTTCCATGTCAATGAAGGCGGAAAAAAAAAGCTGGATAAAATAAAATGAAGCCAGTGCTTGCAAACATGCACGCTAGAGTCGCTCACAAACCTAAACAGCTTTGTTACCAAAATTACTAAAGATTCCTTTGAACTGTCACCGGAAAATAGCAATTCTCGCACAACAAAACAATTTCACGGCTTTTATTTATAAACCTTGATCTGCAATTAATTGATTAGATTTAGTGACGTTACATGACAATGCACATTTCTTTCATCGGTCAAACTTCACAATAGAAAAATGTACTTCGCTCGTTTTTTCTGATTAACAGCAATAAGGTCACGTTTTGAATCCAGATTGCTCAAGATGCCTTATCTTTTCCATGAGAATGGGAAAATATCTTCAACTTAAGCAGTCGAGGTTCTGAGAAAATAAGATTTGTCTACCAGAGTCCTTTAGGATCTTACGTTAACCTTTTAACCCTTTGGAGTGACCAGCATCTAGTTTCTCCTTACAATATCACCCCTGAATCACACATTAAAATCACAGGAATCAAGGAAATGATCACCAATTAAATAAGTTCTTGATTGTTAAGCAAATTCTCCTTGCCACCAGCTTAGAAACTGTGCAGAGAACAGTACGGAGAATATGCATACTGATGTTAGGGTGTGAAGGATGAGAATATCCGCAAAGCATCCTCTGTTGGAGAAACCGGTTGAAATCCCAGATCTGAAATATGTTCTCTTTTCGCTCCTGCCAGTCGTAAAATTGATTTATTTAAGTCAGAGCTCTCCAAATTTCAAACTCAGTGAGGAACGTGACCCTATGTCTACCTGACATGTGTACGAGATCTGCTGTCATCATTCTTATGTACCTGAAATACACCAGATGTCATCATTTCCGGTCTTTAAACAAAGGAAGGACTCAAATAATATATTTTTGCGTAGGCGACAGAGGAAATATCATCATTGTCTCAGAATAAATGCTTCTAATCAGGTAGCTCTAAGAAAAACAACAGTTATCAGCTGAGCGTGAATATTCAATTTCGCTGCAAATCGCTTGACTCGTCCATACCGGTATTGATAATTTTATATTGCAGCAAATAAGATCATATTTCTGATAGGTCATATGTGCGGTATCTTATCTTCAAAGTCAAGTAATCACCTTACCTTTCCTTCAACAATGCTGTCGTTTTTCCTAAAGCAATTCTCCAAACCCGGATCGAATCGTCCTCAATTTCATGATTTATTTTGTGAACGTGAAATTTATTGACAAGAGAAGATACGTGGTGTTCAGAAGACAAATTTTCTTTCTTTTTTCTCCCTTTTTTTCCAAAGTTGAATGGAACGCGTGACATTTCTTTGTAAAACTGATAACGGAAGGGGCAATATTTATTATCCCCAGTCCCCAGCAGCAAACAAGTTACGCAATCTGTATCAATATGGCGTCTTCCCCGTAAATAGGACATCAAAACGTCTGCGTCTCACTCCAGATTTTCGTAAGATGTCGTTCTTCTTTCTTATGTATTCCAACAATTTTCACATACAGGCGACATTTCTATCTGTTTAACTGAGAATTAATCCGAAGTGGTTATTTCTTTCACGGATTAATCTTGAATGTGTGACGTCACGCGCTCGGGTCCAGTCTAAGCTTCGCAGCGATCTCACGGGTATTCTCAGACTTCCTTCGTTCAAATCTACTTCACGGGAGGGGTGGGTAGTTTTGCGTTCGAGAAATTAAGCTATACAGGCCGCGACTCGAACTGATTTTAAGTGTTAAGAAGAAAACAGCATAGATTTAAAAAATTTTCTTTCTGAATTTTAAACACGTTTACTCCTAAATTGACGTCCATGGTCCTCTGATAATTTAATTGCGCTGGACGATATTAAAAAGTAATTCAATTTGGTTATCGAGCTTAGGCTTATCATTGAACGAAATATTACAGTGGTATCTTTAAGCCCTTCCTCGGCTGATAAGGATATTAAAACAACTTCCCATTGAGCGGCTTGCATTTAGATCTTAAAAATTAAAGAGATCACGGACTGATGAACTATTAACGAGGATTGTCAACCGTCATGCGAATTTTTTTAACAGCATTGAACATTCTCCAGACAGTGAGGCTAATGACCAGTGACCCTTTAATCCTATAGATTGTCTAGCATCTAATTTCTCCTTACAATATCACCCTTGAATGAAGTAGGTCTTGATTGTCAAACAGATTCTTGTTGATAGTACTACAGAACATGTCTAGAGAACAGCATGGAGGTTAACAATAAATAAATCCCCCCAAAACGTTACTGATTAGGTTTGAACGAACTTTACAGCATCTAAACAATCGCAAGTAAACTATCTTTTTCGTTAAATTTGATTTATCTTTTACTAAACCTTGCTGCTACAATTTTAACTAAGAAAATGTCATGAAGGTGATTGAGTTGAAATTTGGCACCGTATTTTTGGTGTCAAGTTACCACATAGCGACAAAATCGAAAGGCCAATTTCCTTTTTCTATGTGGTTTTTGTTTTTTCTTTCAGAGTACAAGAAATCCCACACCTACACATACGAGTATGTCGCATCGGTGAACAGCGGTTTCCCTGAAACGGAGGAGCGGTATGCAGGACTGAAGATCACGTGTGACACAGACTTCTACTTCGAGACAGACACTTTGGCTTATTTGAAGGTTGGTGTCCCTGTGGTGTCTCCTGCGGTCATGTAGTACCTTATATTATGCTGCACAAGGTGGTTCTAAGGTACCACTCGTTATTTATCGCCTTGGGAGGGGGAGGGGGAAGGGTCGGAGAGTTTTTTGAGGGGGGAACTGAGAGTTTCAGAAGGAACGGAAGAGGGATCAGTCATGCTAACAGAGTGTTAAGGGGGGAGGGGGGGGAGGACGGCAATAGAAAATTGACTGTTGACTACTGACTGCTGACTGCTGATGATGAGGGGATGGAACGCTACCAGCATACTACAGGGCCTAAGGGGGGGATGGGGGGTTATTTTTTTGTGACACAACCAAAATCTTCTGACTTCTTTCCTCCTCCCCTTCTCGTGATAAATAATGATCGGTCCCAGTGTGTGGAAGAGACCCTTGTGTGTGACCATTCTAGTGAAAGCTGGAAAGAAAAAAATTCATATGGTACTATTTATTATGTTGTTAAAGTGGATCTAAGTCTGTAGATGAATCCCTGGTGCAAGGTCATTTAAGTCAAATTATTCAAATTTTTCTTTTCTTTGTAGATAAGAAACCCAATTCTGTACGAAGTGAACGTAACATCCTTCGACCAATCAGAGTCACACACTGTCTCCCCAGTCTCCAATGAACTGAAGCCGTTGCTGGAACGACCACTCAAGTTTGAGTACAAAGAGGGAAAAGTAGGTCAGATTTTCTGCAATGACGATGAGCCTGAGTACATTTTGAACATCAAAAGAGGAGTTCTTTCCATGATCCATCACAATTTCACCAAGCCTGAGTCTTCATTACATCACCGTGAACCAAGACTGTACAAGAACTGGGAGGTAAGCTGAGAAGTTTCCCACGTCCTTGATGTGTTACAAAATGGATGAATCGAATAAGCTATGTTTTGGTCGACTTTGGGTTGTTTCAACAATGACTTTCATTCCCCAAATCTTCGTTTTTAGATTTCCTCATTTGAAACCTTTTATGCGCAGACAGGAAAAACATTTCGAGATAGTGGAATATGCTAGTTGAAAATTTGCGCCGTTAAGAAATACACCTTGTTTTTCATATCCTAAAGCTAATTGTATTACAATAAAACCTCCCACATATTTTTACCTTCTTAAAGAGTCGCTACAAGTTTTCATTTACATCATTACGTTCCTTTCACGCATTCTTCACTAGTTTCTGATCTGAGAGGCGAGGTTCCTTCATGCGTTAGAAACCGTGGAATCAGCTCTGGCAGAAATTGTGCTTCTCTTGTATTCTAGGCTACAGATATATCTAATAAATTTTTCTTTCTAATCTTTGCAGTTCAGCACTCATGGAATGTGTGAAAACCTGTATGATGTGCGTCACAACACACTGGAGACCAACACAATCAAGGAATTGCAAATTACAAAGACCTTAAACCTGCACAACTGCATTGGAAAACCCCGCGTGTTTTCAAACGTACCAGGAGTGCGCTGTCTTAGCGAGGACTGCAGCGTCATTGATGAGGTATGCAGGCAAAGACTTAAAGAAATAAAAACATATCTTACCACGCCATGAAGGAAGCCTTTGAAATTGTTGATCCTTTCATGGCAGTTTGCAGGGCCCGTCTCACATTTGAACGTAGTTCAGAGCCTGCAGTCCTGGTTTCTCAGTAACATCTCTGCAGCTCATTGGGTGGGGCATTTGTCTGGCTGGTGTTCAAATTCCCAAAAAGAAAACAACAAAAAATGGAATCTGAAAAAAGACTGAAAAGCAGATCAAAAACAACAACAAAAAAAAGAAACCAAAGAAAAAAGAAACCAAACTAATTAAGAAAACAAAATCTGAACAAAAAGCAAAACATGATTTGGATGTGATGTTAAACAAGAATATAGCCAATCTTTCTTTTTAAACAAAAGAAATCCTCATGAAGATACAGCTAACAAGTAAACAAAAAATATGAGAAGGCAATACAGAAAAACAAGCAGAAAACGAAAAGAAAAAGAAAAAAGCAAACAAAAACAAAAGATGAACGAGAAAAAAAATCCAAAACAAATAGTTATTTTTAATAATCATTGAATTCCATCACCCGGGCCTTCCTTTCTTTTCAGCCCCTACAGATCTCTGTGTCAGCATCATGTGATCTTTTCGGAACCGAGGAACAATTTGTGGTGAAGGATTGTAGAACGATGGGAAGATACATTTTTGCACCAACACAGATGAAAGGAAATGCCAGAACTTTGACCAAGTATGTAGATGTGAAAAGGAATAATTTTAAAAAGAACTCTTAACTTGGCTTCTAGTTTACACTTTCCTCGTTACAAATTTCTAAGAGTTAGGTCCAGATTATGTCAAAGAGACAAGAAGTAATGCAGTGAAGATTTTAAAGTTTGGAGAACTAACAAAATATTTTTGGTCAGTCCATACAAGCTTTGATTAGGCGTCTGTTTTCGTAGAATTATATTACAGTGTTTTTTCTCATATATCTTGAAGATGTGAATCTTCTGCGACAAAAATAAATAAAAACTGCCTGCTGCATTTCTAAAGTATTCAAAATCGCCTTCCAAAAAAAAATATTGAGATAAAACAGGCACTGGAGTACGACGTCTATTAACAACTTATTCAAAGTAAAAAAAGAAAAAGTTCCCTTTTTTAAGAAAGTGAGGTTGTAAACTCCATCAGTAATAAGCTACGAACTTATGAAGTGCTGCCCGGAAGCCATAACCGAAATTAAACAAGAAGTTTCAGAGCTTCGCGACGCTTGTTTTAGATGTAATCCCTTGATGAGTGGACAGAACAGGAACGAAGTAATTGGTATCTTAATTTTAAAAATTGCAGAAAGAATTTGAAATTTTCTCGTTTTCATCAATAATCTTTATTTGCAGGCAATACCTGAAATTCAAGGAAGTGAGGTCTGAATCCCAAAGCTGTAAGTATTCGATAAAATACAGTTCTGAAATTTGGAAAAAAAGAAAACTGAATTATTTACTTTTTATTTCACAGATACCGTTAGTGGTGTTACCGCTAGGACATTGGAAATGACTGTGGATGAGGGAGAGGACAAACCAGAGACTGAGGAACAACGTACCCAGACTGCAAACATGGTTAGTTCTAAGCGTTTCCAATGTTTGCTAAGCCAACAGGACAAGAAATCTGAGAGAAATTTTCAATTTAGGTGTCAAAAATGGCGCGCTATGATTGATGTAGAAAACTCGAGTACAGGATGTCAGCGGTAGTTCACTACGTATGACATCACAACCATGTTCACTTGTTGTGGGAGGCAATACATCATCACCAAAACCTGCTCTGACAACAAAGTTTAAAAACTTAGTTGAACATAAGCGGTTCCAAAGAAAATAAAATTTTTCAAAAAATCCTTTACCCTTTACACCCTAACATCAGTCTGTATATTCTCCATACTGTTCTCTGTATATTTCCTAAGGTGTTGACAAGGAGAATTTGTTTAACAATCAAAAGCTTCTTTATTTGATAATCCTTTCCTTTATTCTCGTAGCCTGAATGTATGATTCAGGGGTGATATTGTAAGGAGAAAGAAGAAAGGGCCCCAGGGTCTATAAAAGTTAGTTTTCGTTACTTCTTAAACAACAGAAGAACTGATTTATTTTGGTTTTTTTTTCTTTTGTTTTTTTTTTTGCCGCATAATCATGAAGGTGAGAAAATTGATCGACGACCTGATCAAGAGCGTGGAGGAGAATAATTTGATGTCTTGGCAGTTCAGTCGTTTGGTGGAAACCTTACGCAGGACCTGCAAAAAAACTCTTATCAAGATCTGGGACAACTGCTACAATGACGAGAAACGCAGGTTTGTCCAGAGAAATCTCGAGTGTGATCTTTTAGCATGGTTTTTTATTTGTCATCCGATGGTGCAACTTTTTAAAAAAATTTTTTGGTTACATATGTAATATATGTATCAGTTATGGGATAAATGATTGTTGGACTTGTTGATTGCTAACTTTACGGACTGACTGTTTGATTTAATGTGTGACTGACTGTCCAATGAATGACAAATAGACAGAAGAACAAATGGACTGACAGACTGACTGAAAAGCCGACTACATAAATGACTAGACTGATCGAGAAGGTGATTGACTGACACGCTGACAGACTGATTAACTGACTGACTAAATGACTGGGTGACTGACTGACTGACTGACTGACTGACTGACTGACTGACTGACTGACTGACTAACAAACTGACTGTGTGATTGACTGAGTTAATGACTGATTGTATAACAGATGGACTGACCGGCTGAATGACAGACTAACCAACTGACTGACTAACTAGCTAACTGACTGTGTGATTGACGGACTGAGTAGCTGGCTGACTTACTAACTGACTGACCAACAGATTGACTGAATTAATGACCGCCTGGTTGGCTAACTGACTTACTGACTGGCTGACTTACAGACTGGCTGACTTACAGACTGAATTTGAATGAATGACTCATTGCCGGATTGAAACGTTGCAACGTCTAAGATAGGCGTTAAACATCTTTCCATTTGCTTTCCCGTTTCGGATTGTAGGCAATGGCTGCTGGAAGCTCTGCCTTATGTGTACAAGGAGGAGGTCTTTGAACTCATCTCAGAGAAAATCAAGACATTGGAACTGGACTCTGGGAGGGCGGTCTCACTTATTCGTGGTCTAGCCTTAACTCCAAACCCAACAGAAAAGATGTGCTCGACCGTTGTGGTAAGAAAAAAGGCTTACGCTCTTGCTGTGTGTGCATGAAATACAAGACTCTTCCACGGAGCACGGTTTTACCCATTGAAAATTGGAATCTGGGGAGTAAAGAAATCCGAGTACCCGAAGAAAAAAAACCCTCATAGCGGAACGAGACCCACCAAAAAACTCGGCTTCAGTCTCACTCCGGAATCGAACCCATGCCACAGGGAAGTCAAGCGAACGCTCCCACTGCCTGCCTCCCTGGTCCCCTCACTCCCTCTCTCTAAAGAAAACTTAAACTCTTTTTTCATCTTTCTTTTTCTTTTTGAAGGATCTCTGTTCTGGTTCTGTTGTCCAAGCAGACGAGACTCTGAAGAAAACCTGTTACCTTACTGCCGGTGCCTTGATGCATGACTTCTGCAAAGACAAGGACGCCACTTGCCTTACCAACAAAGTGGATGTAAGTTTCCTTTTGATGTGATGATAACTTGTTTCTGAGTGGTTGATCGTTGCGCGCCAGTCTTCAAATCCTCGAAACGACCTTGGTATGGATGTCTGGAATGCTTTGTCATCGTTGTGGAATGTCCTTGGTCACTCAGAAAGATTCATGAATGGTTTTTGATTGGATGATTATTGCGCGCGAGAGTTCAAGTCCCCTTTTCAACCAACCAATCAGAAAGGGCGTAGACGTCATCTGTAAGGAATTTCTGGTGCGCGACCTTAAACATAGAAACATTAAAGATAATATTTCGATAAAGTAATTGAATTTGAATCAAGTAAGCAATTTTTTGTAATTTCAGGAGATTAAGAGTCGTTTGCAGTATGCCAGTTACCGTGAAAAGATCTTCATCTTGAAGGGCATCGGTAATTTCGGTCACAGAGATTTTTACCAACCTCTTTTGGAAATTATCAAGGACAACAGGAACTCTCTGGAATTACGCGTCACAGCTGTGTATGCTCTACGAAGAATCGCTCCGAAAATTTCACAAAAGGTAATTCACCTTATTGTCCCCCACCCTTCCCCCCTGAAAAAATTAAAATTCAGGTGATGCATTATCGATATATTTGTTACCGCTCGCCTCCTTCCCATTCTCCCGAGCTGTATTGAGGCTCAAGAAATAAGGTCCCTTGAAATAATCGCTAGCATTTACTAAGACCCACAGGAAATCTAAAAATCAATATATTCTGTGTTGCGAGTTTTGCTGTAGTCGGTCATTCAGGTATTTAGTCAGCCAGTCCTTCAGTGATGCAGTCAGTCTGTCATATATATTTAGTCACTGTGTCATATAACGAGTCATTCTGTCGGTCAGTTGATCAATCCGTGAATTAGACAGCGATGGTACTTTATCATTTTCCGACAAAATATTAAACAAAAACGTCAGGAAAATACCTTTTCACTAACTGCGTTAAGAAGCGCAACTTGTATCGGTTGACGAGAACTGCGAACCCTCTTGGTTTATTGAAATCTCACCCTCCCCTCCCAAGGTATTGCCAGTGTTGCTAGAGATCTTCCGTCAACCAAACAACGACGCCGAACTGCGCATGGCTTGTTTTGTGATCATCTGCGACTGCAAACCTGGTCCAGCGGTGTTCAACTTGGTAGTCAAGCAGCTCTATTACGAGCGCACCAATCAAGTGCGATCTTTTGTGGTGTCTTACATCAAGGGGATGGCTTTCTCTAGATACCCATGTGACGAAAAAATGTAAGTTACAATAACATAAATTCAATCATATGACACGTGTTATTGGTAAGAGAACACTAATTGACGAGGTCTGGGCTCAGGATGTTAAGAAAATCTCGCAAATAAGGTAAACTGCCGACACAAGTGGTTTGTCGCTAGATTCGTTTTTACGCTCAAGGGACCTGATTTTCCCGTTTTATAGACAATCTTCGTGTTTGTCCAATTGTAACGTTCCTTTTTTCAGAAACCCAACCAATTAGAGTGTAATACCAAAACTCTGGCAAATTGCTCGTGATGAACATGGAAATCTTTTTTCGCAAGCATTTTAAATTAAACCTAAACCAGCACACAGTTAAGATAAAGGTAAATTTCATGACGAAAAAGAGGGACATCTAAGTAAAAATGTAAAAACACAGACTTGAAGTGCGGCGAAACAAGAGCGACTTGTCACTTGTCAAAATTGGTTTTGTCTTAACATCTCATCGATTGAGAGGATGGGAAAAGGCAAAGCCCTAGTTAATTGCCATGGTTTAGGAATGGAGATCGCCTTTAGTTAAATAACAGGAAAAGAACGTTGCGTTCAGCTTAGCAGTTGTTTGTGTAGGCAAAGAGTGACAGTTTTATCCAAAAGGAATTCCTCATGCTAAGCGCGCGACATTTCAACGTTTAAAGTTGTCTTGGAAGGAGCTCAGTCTATGATCGATCTCCATTTACCATCTGTATCCTCAAATCCAGTCAAGTAGCGATTTTTTTAATCTTTGATAAAAGGCGCTGTATAGCTGACAAAGGCTAACATTCAAAGTCATGGCTAGTTATTTTGTCTTATTTCAGGGCTCAAACCGCACGAATCGCTCTCCGAATCGCCCTTCGAGCGCTTAAGAGATACAAGATAAACCCAGTGAACTCCAAATGGCTCCACTTTGGCGACTTCTCCGGTTAGTACAGTAAAAAAATTATTTCACCATATGGCCGAAAAGTTAATGTTTTTATTAACACACTTCCATGGTGTAGGTCTCCTTAGCAAACGGAAACAAAACATAAAAACACGGAGGGAAAACAAGGTCATAAACTGCATAAAAGCGTAGAGAGGGGAGGGGGACGTTATTCCAATGACTTGTTTGATTATTGCGCATACACTAATGTCGTTAAACCCAAGGGGGCGCTCATACAGTCTTGCACACACCCCCCCCCCCTTTTTTTTAACTATGCACAAACACATCTTTTGATTCCCTTGTTCATTTTCTTTCTTTAAGATCTTCTCCAGATGGGAAGTTCAGTTGATCTTCGCATGATTTCCACGCCATCAAGCTTCATCCCGAGAGCTATCAACTCTAAAGTCAAACTACACACCGGTATGCTTGGAAAATCTCTGAATCTGTTCGAGGTGAGTTAAAGGATGAAAATCTTGCTTTGCTGGTGAAAGAAGACTTAAATAGACCTTTCTTTAACATAATCTGTTTGAGGTGCGTGAAATTATCGCTAGAAATGTTGCTTTGCTGGTGATAGAGGACTGGCAATATGTTCCTTTAAAAAAAAAAAAAGGAAAAAAGGAAAAGAGGAAAACAAAAAGAAGGAAACACGAAAGACTGAACAAATTGAACGATTGCCAGGACCCCTGATTAGCAGATAAAGCCACTTCGAAGTTGTATTTGGTGTCCCTCTCTTGTTTTAAGTCTGGGCACTGAATTGAATCCAGTTTCGTGAAATGCAGGTCACGTTGTCTGATTTCCTTGGATTGATTCGAATCGATTAAAGAAGAGACGTTAAGGTTTGAACCTTCATGAACAAGTTGCAGTCATGGGGTAAAAGAATTTTGTTCCCTTCTAGACTGGCATCCGTGGTGAGGGAATCCAAGAGCTGCTCCAACGTGTCATGGGACCAAGAGGACACTACAGCGAAGATAAGAGTCTGTTTGGCTTGCTCAGACCGAAACGAAGCTTAGACAAGAGTCTGAATGGGAAAGAAATCAAGGAAATCCAATACCAGGTTGGTGAACCAGGTTATCCAGGATTAAATCATAATGATATCGTGACACAAGTTAACTAAAGGGTATATACAACCCAACTAGAGAGAAAATTTACTCACTCAACATAGGTCCTTACCCTGAGTTGCGGCTTTAAGTCTGAGATCCGTATGGATGATACACTGACATACTCAGAGAAGCCAACCAAAGCTCGGGATATCGCTTAAGGATTACCCTAAGCCTGACCGTAAACCACATTTCAAAATACCGGGGTAGAATTAAAATTTATATGGATACGCTGATATAATTCTAGGGTCCAACATGGCAACCTAACTCCAAAATATCCAAGATAAAATTACATTACACAGACACAAGGACATACCCAGAGAAAAGGAATACGTTCTAGATATCTATGGCAAAGTCTATGCCTGAGATAGTAGCCTAGGCTCAATATTCCGAGGCGAGTTGTGCCCAGCTATATCATGAGCTGTTTTTCTATCAAACAGCTGCCAACCGCTGAACATGAAGAGGAGAAAGCCAAAGGTTCCTTCTACTTCAAAGTTTTTGGAAAAGAACTGTTCTATAATTATTTCACCTATGATGACGTCAAAGAGTTAATCGAAGATGGAGTCATCAGAGTTAGCAACGATCTGAAGGACCTGCTGAAGAAAGGTTGGGAAAAAAATGAATCGAGTGAAAGATAAATTTCTTTTTTTTTTATCCAAAGTGGGATGAACTTTTCGATGAGAATTTGTCAATGTTTTCCATCTACATGGAAAAAGCACATGTAGCGTGATGTTCGCTGGTATAAATGAGGCTTCCATGTCAGTTCAAATGGCTAATTTTTTTTTTATTTTTTCAAAGGTAAAAGATGGAATATCTCCAAAATCCTCCGTCCAATTGAAGTGAAGATACGCCAGCCCTCGTGTGCCGGTCTGCCCCTGGATTTCTCTGTGGACAGCGTTTTGTTCCTGCGTTTGAACACCACGGTCAAAGCTGAGGTTCAACCCCGATTCTTCATTCCTCTTCCCGATCAAGTCACTCTTAGTGGAAAATTGAACATTAGGTATGGAAATAAGAACACAGAGCGTTAATTTCGATGCTGAAATGAAAAAGTTATTTTAGATAATCGATTTTTATGAGCCATCGCTCTGCTCATCGATATTTTGTTTTGTCTTTTTTCGCGTCCTGTTTTTTCTAGTGTTCTTCATTCCCTTTGGGGAAAAATGAAAGTATCTCTGCCTCAGTTGGAGACTGGTAGCAAGCTAACGATCCACACCAATATCACTACTGGATTAGGTGGCAGATTCCAGTACAACATCAGAAATCAAAGCTACACCACAGAAATGGACTTGCCACAAGAGAGACAGGAGATTTTATCAACTAAGTAAGTGATTTATGAGCCTTTTATGGACAGATACCAAGAGATTAAAAAAAGGTTTATGATCTCTTGCACGTACTTAGAACCCCCCCCCCCCTCCCTTTTTATTTTTTCGCACAACTGGAACGTTAGGAGGGAAGATTGATGAAACTCAAGTTCAGGGATAAGATTGTTGTAGTTTATACCTGCTGCTGTCACCGCTTAGCCGAAAGTTGCTTTCTATTACATCTAGAGATTCAAGTTTACCGTATGGCAAGTGCTTTGGGTTAAACTAGGTTCTGTGTGTCTCTATATTTCTGAGTCCCACCACCCATTTTAAAGCGCTTTCAATCAAGACTGAGTCGAATTTAATATAATCACCAGATGTACCTTTATTGAATACCTTTGCAAAATGCAAAGACATCCCCTAATCTTAAACTTGTTTCAACACCTAACTAACTTTCCTTCCAAATCTTTCAGAATTGTCTTGATAATAAATTCCATTTTGTTATTTTTCTCATTTCTCAATCCTACGGATTTAAATGGTGTCCTGTTATTAAGGACACCAATTTTGTTTCTCGTTGTCAGGAAAAAACTTTCACCTTAATCATTGTTTTTGGTTACAGCAAGGCGAGCAACACCTGGCTGATGTACAGGAAACCTGTCACAGGTTCCAAGAGTTGGTCTTCAATCTACAGGAGCACAGAGCTGGACGGATTTGAGATCGGAGAAGTTACTGAGGTATGCAACTGAGGGCAGTGTATGTCGCTCTAAAGAATGTGATATGAAATAAAATAAAAAATCTGACCCTCCTCACATTTGGATCCTTTTAACCTCCAGTGTTGGCAAAAGGTCTTGAGACCTTTTCTTCTAGCTATTGGTTCTGGTATTGTTCTTGTAACAATCTTCAAATATGCCATACAAACGGTACCCCTTCCTAGAAAAATGATAACAGCGACTGAGAAGATTAAAAAGCTGAAAATTAACATTTTAGTGGGCAAACGAATGAATAGTTGAGATAACGCGTCTATAGAACGTTACATTAAGCTTTCCTTACTGGTGTCCTTAATATTTATGCTAAGATTTTACCTCTACGTGTTTGTGTCAAGATCTCAAAAAATGGTTGGCGGCGATGGTGGAGAAGGGAACGGGGGTACTGGCTCGCAGCGCTTTTTTAGACGTCCCTTTCGGTTTTTTAGGGTTTTATGCAACTATGTTACTTTCTGTGTAGCTTTCCAACTGTGAATTTCTTTGAAACAAAAAGGTTTGGTAGAGGAGAGGTAAAGAATGTTATTTGTGTGTAGCTTTCCAACTGTTGACTGTTTTTCTTTAAAACACAAAAGATTGCCAGGGGACATCATCATCATCGTTATGCCAACTGGACTCTGAAGGCAGGCAATGGAAAATACCTGTCTGTGAATGAGCACAATGAACTCGTCTTAAGCGAGCTACCTACTGTCTTCAAAGTCTACTTTATCGACGGAAATCATCAATTTGTGAAACTTTTTGTCACCGGAAAGGGATTCGTTAAGGTATTTTTAAAACTCATAATTTATTGCAAAAAAACAAGCAATTTAATTCCTTAGCTACGTTAGCGGGTCCGATGTTCTCCAAGTTTATATTGCTTTACATCTCGTCACGCACGTTGCGTGCAGTCACGTTGCCTATTAATGGGTTTGATTAAACCGCGCAGCACTGCGTTCATGCATGGTCATGTTGCATTGTGTATTTATAATAGACAATCATATTAAGTGCCTCTAGTTTTAGTTAATTTCTATTTGCGTTACCTTGTGGTGGATTGCATTACGACACGTCACGCGGTGTGACACTTCGTGTTGCTGCACCAGGCTGCTTGAATCGAGTTCATAGATCGAGCCTATGCGTTGACATGCATAGCTGGACTGCATAACAATAACACCTCTATCAACACATTGCTATCTTCAATGAAAAGAAAAACCCTAAGTATATCGTGCAATTTTTTTTATAAGGTGAGGCCCAATTCCCAAGGGTGTTTAGAGACTGTGCATGATAATCGCTACCCCAAGCTCTTCAAGATCACATTCGTGAATGGTCGCCGTCATGTTCGCCTCGCGACAGTTGTGTATATTCACAAAGATGCATCCAAGAACCCTGTGGAATGGACCCGCGCAACCGTCCCTATGAACACGGATCAAGTCACGTTATTCCAACACATGATCGAAGATATTGAGCCACAGAAGGGATATGAGGAGAAATGGCGCTATATCAGTGACTTGCCCTTGAATTCGCCTTCGCATAATGCTGAGAAGAGTGACGGACTGCATCCGCGTCATATGAAAATCGTCTTTGTTACACCTGTGGGAAGCAAGCTTTGTTTGAGGCCGAGCCAAACCAAAGAATCTGTGCTCTCTGTAAAGAGGCATCACACAAACTCGAGCGTAAGTGTCATAGGAAATGTTTATACTCCATTTTTCCAAACCGCCTTAGACAAAAGCTGATATCAAGTGGGAATGTTTGCGGCATCTCGCTCCTTTCTTGTGTAACATTTAGCACTGTTTTAAATAAGAAAGAGCAGCTAGTTTTCATTTGTATATGCCTGATAGGATAACTGTTTTGAATAGAACACCCCTGTAAAAAACTATAGCTAAAAGTATCCCGCGGCGATATGAACAAATTCAAAAGAGACTTCATTTGAGTTAGAAAATAGGAACAACAGCAGCATTCGTTTAAAGCAAGTAAGTGTCTGAATTTTTTTTACATGTTCCCGCAGGAACTGTGCTATGGCAAACAAATGCTTGGTTTTGATGTGTGCTTGAGTGGCAGATACATAATGCCACACATTCCCCATCCTCCTGCTTTCCCGTTCAGCGGTCCAGCCAGGCTCAACATCTTCGTTCAACCAAGCAGAGATCCAGCTCAGAAAATCCAGCTTAAGGTAGCAAAAGATCATCATTAACAACATTGTCTTTTTAACCTTATGTTATAAATTTGGTCGAACTGTTAGTTTAAGTGATTAATTTTCATCACCCTTCATCAATCTTTTTAATTGAAAATTACTTTCAATGCATCTTTTTACATTTACGAAATACTGTTTTGTGTACAGACAGACCTACAATCATCACGTGACAACCAAACTTACTCGGCCTTATGAGTTTCATATTTTCTTTGGTTTGGGGCTCCGCTTTTGGTAGAGTAATGGTGCAATGCAAGGTCCACTTGGGTTTTCAAAATGAATGTCACTCTAACCATCATTAATTGCCTTTAGTTTTACCGTCCTTGGAGTGATCACGTCTTCCCAATCATAAACCGTCTATGGGGCGTTGTGACGAACGTTTACGTCTGTTAAGCATCATTTAGCAACTTGTGAAGCTCAAAAATCCGCCTTCCAGAAATTTTGCAAAGATTTATAAGTAACTCCTCTGTAGGTTCGAAGCGACCTCATTCTTTTGATAATTTGAAGAGGCTCTTAAATTATGATACGTACAGATATTTTTGGAGCAGTAATTGGGCGCTTTTTATACTTCATTTTCAAGAAAGAAAACAAAAAGAAAAAAAATTTAAATTGATTTCTCCGCTCACTGATCTCATATTTGACTTAATTTATTGTAGTTTGGCAAAGGAGACAGATTCAATGAACACCTAAAGACATGGAAGGCCGGAATTTACCTTCAAGGCACAAACCCTGAGAAAAAAATTGAGGCTGACGTCAGTTATGACGTCGACAATCAGAGGACTGACGTCACCGTCGATATCCACAACATGTACCCATGGCTAAGGAAAGTTTGCATTGTCAACCAAGTGACCAGTAATGATACAGTGGAGTTCGACTTGAGATTTGGTGAAAATTGCCTCAATGATTATGAAGTGCAGGTAAGCATGGGTGTAGGGTGGGGTGAGGATGAAAAGTTGCTGTGATGCAAGAGAAAACTAGGTTATATTCCCTCGCTGTGATTGCGCATGCGTGTCGGTTGGGGCCGCGGATGGAAAATAGCCGTGCTAAGCACTCGACTGAAAATTACTACTCACTCAACATTAAATATTTCACAGGAAAACGACTTCTGACGAAGCGTTATTTCTCTTGACGAGTTTTTTTTTTGGAACCAATTTTTCTTTTATTATTTTGAACATTTCAAGTCCGTAAAATCAAGAGGACTGGTCATCATTTGTCGGAGGGAGGGGAGGGGGAAAAGAGTTTGGAGAACATTGGCTGTGTCACGATAGAATTGACCTGATCCCCCCCTCCCCCCCACCCAGGCTTCGTATGACCCCCCTTCCCTTCATTGATAGTAAATTGACTGATACCCTCTCCGCTCCTCCTAAAACCCATGTGATCTCCCCCAAAATCCTCCACACTCCATCCCCCCTCTCCAAGGGGACAAAGAAGGACTGATACCTGAGGCACTGGATACTTATCGATATACTTCTGCAACATCACCCCAACCTTTCGCATAAACGATCGCCAAATTTATAAATTTCGTAATGATAATTTCTCGTTAGACCCGTATCTCCATCAAAGAACCAAGCCGCAGACAACTGAACATCGTGACTTCTTACAACAAACTGCCAGAACCAGTGCTAATGATGTGCTACAAACTTCTGAAAAAGTTTTCTCAGCGCTATTATCACAGGTAAGGGTGGTTTAATCTTCTGTCTATGGCTTTCCCTATTTGAGTTACGGAGAAAACTACCCTCTATATTTTAGGTGATTCCTCGGGAGAAAAAAATTTTATCAAACATTTCTTTTTAAAACTTTCCTCAAATATTTCCTACCAGTGTCTGCTGCGAAAAATTTAATTAAAAAGATAGGTCACCGTACTTTTTAAAGAGATGTGATGAACTAAACTTACCCTATTCATGTCTGTGCCGGCGCTAATCACGCGCGTCTTTCATCGGTTCACGGTACACTTTAAATTAGCGGGAGCAACGTTTTTTAGAGAAAGACTTGCAAAAAAAACTTGATAGGTATATGATTTGTGGAAAATCACGCAATTTTGAACGTCATCGACTCAAAACGTCCTTTTTGTCAGCATAACAGCAAAAATGATGCTTTATCGCTAGGCATTAGTCTATCCTTTGTATCGGTATCTCGCTGAAATAATGACTGAGATCCCTTTCACATTTGAATCGTTTTGGTTGGAAGAGGATTTACTTTGAAACGACACTGAAAGAGCATTGAGAAGTTCACTGATAAAGTTTTCTGTTTCCTTGCAGGCTCAGCGATTGGGAATTTGCTAGGAACGAGCCGAACAAAGTCGAATTTGTTGTGAAATTTAAAACTGACCAACTTGTTGATCTTGAACTCAACACACCTTCTCATGTGATGACAATGGAAGACGTCGAGTTCAAGAGCCAAGGTTTTCTTCCTCGGGGATCCAATTACTACAACACATTTACGCATGTGTCTACACGTGAGTGGAGTTATAAAGAATATATTCATATTAATGAAAACTTTGAAAAAATTAACGGAGACTGTTCCCACAGTGGTGGTTTCCTTTCATGCCATGTAACCTGGAACAAGCCATCACTTGGATCTTATGCATGACTCACATTTTGTTCATTTTCAGCGGTTTGCACCGTGGAGCAGGACACTTTGAAAACCTTTGATGACGTCGAGATCCAACATACGTTACCAGACAGGTGCATGCACGTGCTGGCCAAAGACTGCACAAAGAACACCTCCTTCATAGTACTCATGTCCAAAGACACTCGACATCCTGATAAGAAGATCATTGAAATATTAGTGGAGCAGGAAAAGATACGAATAGCACATTTGGGAAGCGCAGGATATCAGATTCAGGTACGCATTTATATTTTCTCTAATTTCTTTTGGTTTCCTTATTTTTGCCTCATTTTTTTCCAGACATCCTCTCTTCGACTCTTCTGCACCTTTACCCTCGATCTTAATTCATATCGACTGTCACCAATTTTCCCGGTTTTCATCAACCATCGGCACTCCACCATCCACTTATCATGCCGACTAAAGAATTCCATCACGAACAGAACGACCTTACTTTAGTAGCTGATCAAAACTAGCCAATCCCTTATGACTTAGTTTACGTGATTCTTACAGTCGGTTCCATCCTGGTAATGCGGCCAATCTGTTTTCACGAATGAGAATTATAACACTTCACTGACAAGCAACTTCTCAAAACCTCTGTGACCGTTATCAACAGCCTCTATTTTCAGGGTCACCCTTACATGGACGATCAGACCACACAATCAGCCATATATTTTTCATCAATCTGATTCCTTTTGCAATTCGTTTTGATCTGCAGGTCAACGGAAAAATCAATCTAAATCGGCCGATCCGCCACAAGAACATCGCCACCATAATCGAAGAACCAGCAAGCGACAAACTTCATGTTTTGTGCGATATTGGTCTTCAAGTAGAGATCGTGCGTGGAAGCAAAGTATGTGCTAAATTAACATGCTAAAGCAGCTGCGCGAAGAAACCTGAACATTGCCTTTCTTGTAGCGTGAGAGAATGAAGCGCCTGCTGCGCGCGTCTTCCCCACTACTTCTCCCCAGACTTTCATGCGCGAAATCACGTGGGAATTTGTGTGAGCGATATATACACGCCCCCTCACGCCTGATGAAGTCTATGAAATCGTGCTTCACGCGTAATATAGTACAGGCGCGTTTTAGATCGTTCGAGATTAGACACATGCCACTTTATTCATACGCCAAATAAAACGCGCACATCTGTTTTCCTCATGCGCTAGAGAGTAGAAGTGCGCATCTTTCCTCACGAGTTGACGTGCATCTTTTTTCCCGTGCGAGGTCAGTCACTCGCAGTTCACTTCATGCACGAGACACGCGCAATTTCCAGCACACGTGAGTTGAGATGCGCGTGTTTTATACCCTGCTAAGTGTTAAATTCTACTCAATTTTCTTCCTGATTTTCTTCTGAACAGATTAGTATCCGTGTATCGCGATACTATTTCGACCGTACTTGTGGCATGTGTGGTGACTGTAATGCAGAACAGTTCCGTGACCTGAAAACCCCACAAGGCAAAGTATTCACCGACTCTGATAATCTGATGTATGGTCGTATGTGGATGGTGACCATGAATAATTGCAAAGGTATGTACACAAGCAACATCTTACAGTCTCTGTGTGTATTGGGTGCGGCTCGTTCTAAACCTCTACGTTGACAGTTGCGAAAGAATAGGAAAAAAGATATATAACTTCAAAAACGCACGGAAATACGGGGAAATACAAACGAGGGCAGCTTTCTCCCTTCGTTAGAAGCTATAGACATGAGGGTTGAAAAGAAGGGGAAATGAACGTCTGCGGGTATTTACCACAATCTGCGCTTTTTTTCGCAGCTGGATGTAACCTCAAGAAAGAGTACCTCAAGGTTGACAGAACCATCAACGGTGAGAGCCACGATTGCTACCCCACTAGCCCAGTCCTCCGCTGTCATAATGGTTGCCAGGCTACCAAAACCAGGATGACATCATTCCCTATGACTTGCGTGGAGACTGGAACTAAGGAATCACAGAAAATATCGGCTAACTTGGGAAAACCCAGTTTCGATTTGACCGGAAGTGTCGTGTACTTCAGGGAAAATCTGGAAGAGGAAACAGAGTGCAACTGCAGTAGCTGTCAGTAGTGAGCACCCATTCTCAAGGGAATTTGACCAAGTTACCAGGAAGTGAAACGGACCGTTACTAAGGACTGATTTTAAGGCTATCGCACATTTAATTTTTTTTTATTGATTACTAGGAAAGAAATTGCTCAATAACCTCGTGAGATTAAAACATTAAAAAGTTTTGTTGCATTTTTTCCCCTTCAAATGGCAGTTCTTTATATCAGTTTTAAATAGTTGCAGCAATGTTTCTCTTTTATAAAGAGTAAACAGACCTTAAGAGAATTATGTATTTGATAACACTTGAGTTGTAGATTTATTTTGCGCTCTTCGTAACTTACATTTCTGTTCAAGTGTTAGTTTCTCTCTATCTCTGTTTTTTTCGTTATGTTTTTGGGTTTTTTTTTTGCAAGTTTTAAAGTATACCAATAAGCAATCAATAGGGTGCCGATAATAAATAAAATAAAACATGAATTTGTCTGCTTTTTTTCATGATAAATTCTAATGAGGGTAGGAATTCTTCCTTTGCCAGCCTCGTAGCGAAACGTGTGGAAAAACAAGAATGAAACTTTTAAAAGGCACAGCTCCTGAGTGGGCAGAGAAAATCCCTTATGAGTATCAAAAAAGAATTTTGTTAATTATCAAACTCAAAAGCTCATTGACGAATTTCTGTTGTTTCGCCATTCTTGTCTCTTTATGTCTCCCAAAAAGAGGTTTTCAAGGGCATTTAATGGCGCATTGGAAGGGCGATCATCAGTCGTCTTGACGTGCAGAGGAAATTTTCTCTGAATATTGAAACAGTGGAATTTTTATAGTGAGTTGGGAAACAAAGGATAGGTCATCGACCAAAAATTCTCATTAAAGAATTTCTATTGTCTAAATATTCAAGCCTTTAAATCTCGTGCCAAAAGAGGTTCTTACAGGGTATTTGATGCTGCTTTAGAAAGATCATGATTTCTTGCCTGTTGTGAGCTAGTTTCAAAGCCACCCACCGATTAGAGGCCAAGAAAATCTACTCTGAATATAGAAACAATAGCATTTTGTAAATGAGCAAACAAACTATCTGGCAGTTTGTTGTAAGAAGTCACGATGTTCAGTTGTCTGCGGCTTGGTTCTTTGATGGAGATACGGGTCTAACGAGTCATTACGTTTATAAATTTGGCAAAGGTTGGGGTGATGTTGCAGAAGTATATCGATAAGTATCCAGTGCCTCAGGTATCAGTCCTTCTTTGTCCCCTTGGAGAGGGGGGATGGAGTGTGGATGGAGGGTTAAGTTGTGGATCCCAAATGTTCACGAACGAACTCATTGCTCTCCTGTGGGCTTCAAAGCTTGGAAAACAGATCCGTTACTTTCTCCGCCAAAAAGGGTATATCTGTTCTTGGCCAATTCTATCGAAGCCATGAGCTTTGCTATTGCTCTTGATGCGCGGTCTAGCATGGTAATTCACTCCTCGTGTCAATCGCTATGACGAAGGGCTAATGCTCGAAACGTCAGCTTTTTAACTCTTAACGGTGACCAATTTACGTTTTCAACACTAAATAACCTGTCATACTCTCCCACCGACGCAGCACCACAGTTTCTTGAGAAACTTACCCCCTTTATTCAAGTGTTAATAGAGACTAGCTTTGACCGAGCTAGTTCCCCTGTAGACTGGGCCAAATTTAATAAATTGGAACATTAAATGGCAGAGAGAAGTAGGTGAATTAGCGACGATCGAGGAAATCTGAAACAGTCAAACCTTTACAAGTACTAGAGCCAAAACAATCCCCAGAAATCTCGCTTACGCATCTTCAACCCTACGCACTGTAACATTACAGAGTTCACATATGTTCATGCTTAGTCTCTACACATCTCCTATGGTCTTAACAAGAAAAATTGCTTTGAAATCACGATCTTTTTAAGTCTACAATCATTTCATTTTTCTTCATCTCATTCCCTTAATGTTTCATTCAATGATGTTACCGCAAGGATAAAACTAGCACCACCTAGGTCCAATCCTGTACGGAGGGCAAAGAGAGAACCACGCTACGCAGTCCGAGAATGAAGCGATATGTCCGGGAGCCAATCTTTCTCAAAGCGCTCAGTCAGCAATACGAAGCGCAAGAGTAAACGGCTCCATAGTAGCAGAGTGGGGGACAACGAGGGGGGGGGGGGGGGCGGTTAGATCTGGTCGTGTTATGAACACGTTCTCAACGCGAACTAACCGAAACTTTCCTCGTTTACACTTCGCAACCATTTCCGTGTTCCTCAGATATTCGCTCCGTTTCACAAACTGAGCGCTTGGGAACAGGCTACTATAAACCTTGCTACCTCACGGGGCAGATAGTGCAATCCAACGCATGTTAAAGAGACATATTTCGTTATCTCTCACCTTCGAAAGACCGGGGCCAGATAAATTACGAGTGGGAAGGAGCTCTCAAGGGGTATTTCTGAAGCTCTTCTAATTGTAATAAACACACTTATAACTCGTTGCATGACAAATATCAAATTACAGACATAAAAATTGTCACCTTTGAATGACAACTAACCTGGCCGTTTCGCGTTCATGGGAATTCAAGTAACTTGTTTTGTTTTTTTTTTTAAACGGTGTGCGCATGCTCTGTCAGCCAATTCAGGAAGGGAAATCTTTTGTCTCTAAAATCCTTCTAAAATTAAATGTCCATTTCTTTAATATCAACATGATCACAAACTGTATGAGCGTACTTAATCAGAAACATTAGTTATAGGGCATAGGTCATTTATACAGATATTTATCAGGGCATTCAAGAGTCAGAAGGCTTACGACGGCTCCTAAATATTTATAATATATATATATATATATATGAATACTACTACAGAGGCTAAATTTGTTGGTTCTTCAAATTCGATCCTTTCAAATTATCGTGTATCAATCAAATCCTTTTTCTTGCTTTTTCATTAGTATCAATCATGGTTGTAGCTCAATTGAAAACCCCCCAAAACGTTTTTTTTTCCAAAGAAAATTTTAAATTAACTAGTTACTAAATGTTTGTTGGGCGAAAATGAAGCGTGCATGATTCTTCAATTTCCTTAACCGCTAAGAGAAAAGCTAAGTCACTAGAACTCATTCCAGCAAAACGAATGTCAAGCAACCCAGGTAGCCTTGCGTGACGCCAACAAAGTGTCGCTCTTGATGCCGCATCGCGTTATGAAATGTTTAAATATATCTTAAAATGAATAAAAATGGACTAGCTAGGTTCTGGCGCTAGTAAGCTAGAGTCTGTTTCACAAACTGCTACATTCTACCCAAGTACAGCTTAAATATGGGCAACTACAGGATCGTCGTCAGTATCTATGCGACTGCTCACCCACCCCTCCCGTAACCCAACATTAACCCTAAATTGCTATCAGTCAACTATAGCTGAGTTAGGGGAGGGGTAGGTGCGCAGGGTAGGTTCCCAGTTACTCAAATACTGACAGTGATCTCAACTATATCCCTTACAAAAAAGCCAAGGCACTCCTGAGGCGGAATTGGCATAAATGCGATCCAAGCTAAGCGAGAAGCAGCCAAAGCTTCCTTTTCAAAGCGCAGTCATGAATTCTAAAGAGCTTCAGGCATTTCAAAGTTAAAACGGCGAGTCTTTGTTTTCAAATTGCAGTTGAAGCCCCAAGAACCAAACCCGAGTCGGAATTAATAAGTCGCACCTATATTTGACTGCCACTTTGAAAGAAAGCAACGGTTACCTCGTGGTCTCATCTTGCACGAGCGGCAAAAAGTCACGCTCAATCAGAGTTCCTCGTGAACCAATGTCATTGGAATTATTTTCATACCTTGTAGACCGGATTTGATCCGTCAAAGTGAATTTTAAAAAAAGACAGCGAAGTTGCAAAACTTCTAATTTAGTAGCGATTCTGGAAACTTCTTGTGTGTTAAATAATGGTTTAAGACGGCTTCTCCTTGAGAGAACACGTCCACGCAAAAAATATTAAGTCCAAAAGCAGCTGAGTAAATGATGATATGATAATGTCAATGGTAATACGAGCATTCGTATTTCTTGAGCGAATATTGGCGAATTTACACGCGTTTTTGTTCGGACGACAGAATTCTTCCTTATTTGAGATTCAACTTACGGGAGAAAAAGATACATCACTCAGATGAGCAGTGTCTTTCCTAAAGCCGAAGAGTACATTGTATAGATCTCAAGGAAAAAGTGCGTATTTTTTCCCCTTAAAATTCAAAGGTCGTGCGTGATTAACTTAGTTCCCATGGTCTCTCTTCCTAGCTTGGCGAGAGAACCTGAGAACGAAGTTGGTTGGCATTACTCCGTGAAACAAAATTTTTGCTTCTGTCCTTAACAGTCAAATGCTGTTGGTAACAATGTTTTTTTTTCAGGGAACGGAAATTCTTTCATAATCGTCCGATTCATCCCAAAATCTGCGCCAAATAGCTCAACTATCTGCAGTGAACATTATTTAAAAGCAATGCAAAGACGTTATTTTGTTGAATCCCTCCCGCTTGGGTGAAAAGTATACCTTAAGTGAAAAAACTCCGAGTTAAAAGAGGGTGGAAGCCGTTCAAAGCATCACTCACAAATAGCCGGGTAAAATTGTGATATTAGAGTTAAAGATGTCCCAAGAAATATCCAAGTATCTTACACACAACGTAAGGAAAAAGAACTATACAAACATATTTCCCTTTCTATATAATATAACCTTATTTAAAGACAATCTATTCTAGGTTTAGTCTGAGTTAACAAGCGCCTATCTTTATTTCCTTCACGTTATCTCCTCTCAACATCCATCAAAAGTTCGATGTTACTTGATCATGATCTTAAGCTACGCGTGCGCGCGCGCCAAAAGCAAATCAATCTGCACTTCAGCCAATCGGCAAAAACGGTTAGAAGTTAACTTTAACTACGTCATTAGACATAAACTTTTTTTTTCGCCGAATATTTCTACTCATTTGCGAGAAAGGAAAGGGCATGAAAACACAGACGGTTGTTAACTCAGGCTATTTATGGCCCCTTTTGCCTCAAGCCCTGAAGTTTCACGCATACTTCACCGCGTTGAACCGCAGAGCGCAAGAAAAACGGGTTGTTCGTACACGGGAGGTTTCTCCAACTATTAGATTCGTTCCTAACACTGGAGTCCATACCTCTGCTGAGGAAGAACTGCTGTTTGCTACAAATCCTTTGATTATGACGGACGAAATATACAAAGACAGTAATTGTCTGACCATTATTGCATGAAGTAGTCTCCCTGATGATCTGTTGTTCCGTCAGTCGTTTCAAATCTTCTGGCTTCCTCTTGCATGGTTTCTTTGATCTTTAATATCGCTACAGATTCGCAGTGATCCTGTAAAGAAATTACAATGTCCATTATCAACTGTTCGTCAAATAAAACGAGATCAGACTAGTTGTCTACATGCGTAGCATTTTGCAAAACTTGGGAAAGTTAAACACTTTGTATGCACGCATCTAAACTAAAAAAACAAAACAAAACAAAACAACAAAAAAAAACTTCTTGCAATCTATCATTCTTTTGGTGAATTACTGTAACAAACGTGCGCAAACGTGATCAGCTGCACGAGCGAGCATAGCGCGCAAGACTGCACCCGAAGAGTCTCCGATCTTTGAGAACCAATCTAAAAAAAACTTCAGCACGTAACGACCGAGGTATTCTCAATTCTTAAAGAGTGAAACAAACAAACAAACAAACAAACAAACAAACAAACAAACTCCACAGAAGAAAATGCGAGACCAAACGTTTTAAGCGTTAGACTTTCAAACAAATTTCTACGCTGTGCGCTCTTATTCCCGATGGAAAAACCAACTCAGAATTTGTCGGAGATTAGTCGGAACTTAATCGAATCACTCCTCGACTTGCTTTCATAATTCAAATAGGGAGTATTTTTGGGAATTGTGTATTCCCGTCGTATTTCTCGACGAAGTTCTTCCGAAGCTACGATTGCACGACTATCGCCCGATTACTTGTTAACGCCAAATTTTTCACACAATGAGGCTGGGAAAAACTTCAGGTGCCAAGACGAAGTATGGCCTAAAGCCATGTTGCTTCCTAAACCGAAAACCACGCCTAAAGTGCAAGTTGGGTACAAACAACAAGTTACATATATCGATGACCTTTTTTTTTTTTTTTTTTTGTCAACCATAAGTCACGTGGTACCTCTAACCACAATAAACATGCATTCTTTAGCAAATCATGTTCTGTTTATGCAAAGTTTACCAGTTCCTAAGCAAAAATAATTCAACTCACTTTTTAAAAGCCTGTTAACGTTCACTCTAACTTGGAAATGTCTGCAACAAATAAGAATTATAAAGTATTACAATCGACCCTTTCACGGGGAACCTGGTTCATTAGTGCCTCCTTTCCGCCCGTCTGGCCAACAGTATCATCACTACTGCTGACCACGAGAAGTGGGGACTCGGGATAATCCGCCGAGTTCTCCAGGCATGCGTAAAGTAACCGAGCGTTTTGACGGTGAAAGAATGGCATGAACGTATGAATGAAAAGTTTTTTACGAAGTGGTTATGGTGTCACATGACCTATGGTTGTTTCTGCAAGCTACAGAAGTGATAAGAATAGGAAAAAAAAAAGACAAAAGAATGTTATAAAGAGTATGGCTGGATAAGAACGACATTCACATTTTTCAATTGGGCAAAGTGCGTCTGCGATCAACATTCGCTTACTTTGAGCATGCGCAGAAATTCTAGTTTCATTTGCATGCTCACCGAAACTCTATGTCACACACAACTTAATATGACGCGTGTCTATAGATTTAAAAGTTCATGAAGAAAAAGCGTCAAAAAGGATATCAAAGAACAAAGTAGATGCAAAATAAATATATATTATTTTCCTTAAGCTACTGCATTTGATGAGAACGTTAAAAATAAGAACCCCACTCAAAACCGCCATGGCGAGTCGGCTGACGCTCTTGAGATATTATTATTACGATTATTATTATTATCATAATTATTATTATCAGTATTACTATTATCATAATTATAATTATCATTATTACTATTATTATTAGTATTAGTATTAGTACTAGTATTACTATCATTATCGTTATTATTATCATTATTACTGTTATTATCATAAATTTACAGATCCCATCAAAATTTTACAACTCTTGAGATCTGGATGCCTTTCTAAAAGTGTAGCTGACATTTTTTAAAAACAAAGAATCGAACTTGCAAGTTTTAGAACTTATAATTTGATTTCTACCAGCATTACATGTCCTTTGCAATTAGTACACGGGTTTCTTAGTCTACTGAAAATGAGGCAAGACCTGACTCAAAGAGCGAAGAATTCTGCATTTGAAGCCTAAGCAAACTCATAAACATCTGCCGAGGTTTATCTCACGGATGGTCACATGTGATGAAATTTATGTTTGGTGGTTAGTTAATCTCGCTTCTTACAACAAAGAAAAGTTTTAATTTTTAAGTTACGCTTTAAAAAAGCACTCAGCACTCACATTAATCATATATTTCAAGTAATGCTCAAGAAATGTTTTCAATCAAATTCAAGTCTTCAGCATCTTAAAATAATTTCTCACAATCGATCTTGATTCCTGAAAATTTTATACGCAACTTTAAATATTCAAGTCCAGATTACCAAAAGAAGCTGGAGAATTAACCCAACGCATTACCACAAGAATGGTTGTTCACACAAATGAAAATAATTTGCTAGAAATTTGACCTTCAAGAGGATTGAGAGCAGCAATGAAAGAAAAGGGAACCGAAGAGAGGTAGCTTCCTACACAAGTCATCTTCTCCATATAGGAAAGAAGAAAAAATCAGTGAAGATCTGGAATTTCGTTTGCAAAGTTAATCAGGTTGCTTCAAGTCTCTTGAAAGGTCCCCGGTTGCGGATAAATGGACATGTTAACAAACTTGTTTTTGATCACTTTTTGATGACGTTATTCTTTGTTATTCTTGGTATTTGCAAGCGAAACCAGAAAAAACAAAAAGCCAACTTTGGAAGTGTCGCAAGAAAACTATTAACTAATTTTTTTTCAAATTGCAAAAATAGAGAACGAGAAACAACATTTCACTTACATTGTCTTGTGAAAAAGGCAGTAAATTGCTAAACTGGTTATCGCCTTCCCCAGGGGTACCGGGGTTGTGGTCATTCTGGTTATCCTGCAAATGATGCAGAAACACAAGAGACAAAAGTAAAAATCATTAGGGGAGGGGTGGGGAGAAGATGCGGCAGAATGATCTTTCATGGCTGATGACTTGCGAGTAATTCCAGAGAAAGACAAGATTATGTCTCTTAAGAGCTGGTAGAATTTATCTTCCAACAGAGCAAGTTTTGGACGAGGAACTCTTCAAATTGACAGTGCTAGAGACATCTGATAAAACTACAACCCCCTCTATGTCCTTTCATCTGCCAAATTTATAACGTCATTGCATGAGCATACCCGGCCAGTCATATCAGCTTTATCTGACAAGGTCCTATTGTTTAACTTTCTGGCTTTTGGTAAACAACTCACAAACATTATTTACTACTACGCCTAACTAGAAATTGTACTTTTTACCCTTTTAAAGTATCTCTTTACTGCAACATACACGCAGCACAGTCACCTGGCTAAAACCCAGGCCTCTCCTTCCACTTTCTTACTACATAAATATACCTTAACTCTTAGACACTAAAAGTACTGATGTTACCTTTGGGAGACCGTCCATATCAGGGTTTGAATCTGTTACAGAAATTATCAAAATTCTATTCAATACTTGCATGGGACTTAATGTTAGCAATGACTTTACCGAGATCCCTATTTCATCATTTTTACAGCAAATTGAACTTTGAAGCATTAAAATAGAAAAGGTGATGACTAGATATTCCTAGCATCAAGGAAAAGTTATCAAACGGCAGTTTTGCGAGTATGCAACACTATTTTAATTGATTTTATATACTTAAGCATATTTTTAAATGTCCTTTTTAATTAATTTTGTATCATGCAAAGCTAAATCTTTGTGATCTTTTACATTTGGGGAATCCTCATAGAGCTAATTTCTAGTTTTCCTTTTCAAGACAATGTTTTACAATTAATTTCCTCAAGTTTAATAAATACTTTGTCAAGAAACTTGGTCAATGAGAAAATCAGCACCTGTTATTCTGAACAGAAAAGGTAAAAAATACCATATTTCCTCAAGTAAGTGCTCGTGAGCTTATTGAAATTTTTGGATAGAAGGAGGGTGTTTAATCGAAAAGGATGCACACTATTCTTTTGCATCAATTCTGCTGTAGTTGAAGCTTTAAAAGTTTTAAATAAAGTGGTAATAGAAACAGGTTTTCCATGTATCCCTACTATAAAGAAAGTGATGAATGAGGGGGCCCTTATTTCAGAGGGGTGCACTCATATAAAGTAGGGCACTTAGAGTGTGGGCACCTATTCCAGGAAATAAAATAAACAAGCCAAGTTGCATCTTTGAACATTTTCAGTACAGTACTTTAAATAACCTTACCATTCATCACAAGAGGGGGCTCCTGGCCCCCAAGGGGTAATGTGGGTTCTGGGCCACCACCCATGTACTGTGAAAAAGGTAAATAAATCATTGGTTAATTCTCTGTTGGGCTGTCAAGAAAAGAAACTCTAAGACATTGCTTACTTGGTGGTTGGTATTTGAGACAAAAAAAAAGATATATATATATACATATATATGCTGCAAGTGCTAAATTCCAAGTTACTTCTGTTAATAGCTAAGGGCTTTCTTATACTCACTGCTGACATGTTTCCACCAGGGACAGATTTCATCATAGCATACATGGATTCATTGCCAGTATTTGATGGGTCTGAAAAAGAATAGTATTAAATTTTTGTTTTCAAGGGCCTACATCAACAAATATTAACTAACACATTTCAAATGTTTTCCTGTCCAAGTATATTATTCAATTTTTCTGTTCTAAACACATTGCACACACACAGACTTGCAAGATATAAAGATTTAAAAACCAACCTTGAGGAGATGGCATTATTGGTGTTCCGGGAGGACCTGAGACCTGAAACAAGAAGTACTTCAAGTAAGTGGCTTGTACCTCAGATAAGTGACTTATATCTCAAGTAAGGGACTTGTACCACAAGTGAGTGACTTGTATCTAAAGTAAGTAGCTTGTACAACGGGTGACCTGTATCTCAACTAAGTGACTTGTTTCTAAAGTTAGTAATTTGTACCAGAAGTAAGTGACTTGTATCTCAAGTGACTTGTACCTCAAATAGGTGACTTGTAGCTCAAGTAAGTGACTTGTAGCTCAAGTAACTGACTTGTACCTCAAGTAACTGACTTTTATCTCAAGTGACTTGAATCTCAAGTGACTTGTACCACAAGTAAATGTCTTGTACCTCAAGTAACTGATTTGTACTTCAAGTAACTGACATGTTTCTCAAGTAACTTGTACCTCAGCTAAGTGACTTGTACCACAAGTGACTTCTATCTCAAGTAAGTGATTTGTACCACAAGTAGATGACTTGTAACACAAGCAAGTCTAAGTGTACGTGTATAAGTTATGATTTCTGGTTTCTTGTTGTAATGTGTTGTTCTTAATTGCACTGTTTGTATGGTAATGTAACATTTTAAAATAGAAATAGAATCAAATCAAATAACAAGCTATAATTTTCACTTTAAACATGACTCACAAACCCCCCCCCCCCAAAAAAAAAAAAATGCTGAATGATTTTATGGGTTGAATGGGCAGTATGAGCAGTCCTGATTCAACTTGTTCAACAACAACTACACTTTTAAGATACTGAATGTATGTAACCTCATGTGAATTAGGTTCAGGTGACATTCGCTAAATTTATCTTCAAAGCTTCGCTACAGCTATACATACCGATGTTGTAGGATTCCAGGGTCTACTACCAGGCCTATGAAAAATTAATGCACATAAAATACTTCTCAATGATCTGACAACTGTTATTTGTTCTGTAAAATTGAGCAATTTTTTAACTCCATCTAAATTTGATCATCTGATCAGAATCTTAGATAATGAGTTTAGGACAGGTGAACTGCCATTAAAGAAATCACAGAAAAGGAAGTTTGCACAAATACAGGGATCAGTTTTGAAAATTAGCCTATTAGAACTTAAAACTAGCACAACTACTCTATGAGCTAATCAGCCACATATTGGAGGTAAGGCAAACTTGAGTGGGTTCTTTGTTACCCATGCTGGAATCTGTTTACAGTATATATCATATTTACAAGTGCAGGCTGTAATGAACAGCACCCCAAGATATTTTTTTTCAAGCTTCAAAGATTTAACAACTTACATGGGCATGTTGACGCCTGGCGCTACTGAGCTGTTTGGTGGGGGTCTCATCCCACCATAGTTCTGCAAGTAAGATAACAAGATTGGTTGGTTAGATTTAGGTACATTTACTTACTATTTACTAATTCAATTGATGAGAAATAGCCAAACACTATATACATTGACAGTGCTAACAGCCATGTAGCATGGAGTGTGCACAAGTTATAATTTGGAAATTACCATATTTTATGTGTTTTGCAGAGGGAACATTTTAAAAGTTAAGATGACTGCAGAGACGAGGAGTTTTTGAAAATTGTAACAAATAGGTTTACATGTTTGGCAGAGTTTTTCACCTTCGTTCTGCGAAACTGGGTACCATTCACCAAACCACAAATACAAGACCCACAAAAAATTTCATGCCAAACAATACCCTGTATTTTTACAAGAATGGCAAGACGCTAAAATATTGTTTCCTCACCGGTGGAACAGGAACTCGAGGATGGTTCATTCTGCTCATTTGCATTGGTTGCCCTGTGGAAGTCAACAAAACACAACAAAGTGAAGTTGGTGCCAAAGTATCCACCCAGGGCAAAACAAAGTAAACAAGATCAATATGCATTTCTCTACACCCTTCTCTGTAAATTTCCTTAGATACTGACGAGGAGAATTTGTTTAACAATCAAAGCTCCTTACATTGGCTTTCATTTCCTTTACATTCACATGATCTACTGAATGATTCAGACTTATTACTGTAAGGGGAAATTACAAGCTGGTCACTCCAGGGTTTAGATGGTTAAAAGCACCCAAGACAAAAAGGCTAGGACAAATTCACGAGGGGGATGCCAGAAAATGTAAAGGAAGAAGACAAAACTCTTTCTAAGGAGGAAAAGTTAAATCATGCCATGGAATAAAATAATGAATACCAAAAATTAGGGAGTGGTTGCCCACAACTGAGGAAAAAAATATTCGCACACATGTAAGGGAGTGAGAGGACTGGAGTGCAATCATTTCCTAAGGAAGAAATACAGTCTAAAGGAATGATGGAGAGAATTAATGGGGTCACCAGTGACTAAAGAAACAATTTCAAAGAAATTAGTCAGGAAGGTGAGAATGTGCAATGCACTTATCAGGAATGAACAATTTATTCATGCAATGGGACAAAAGAACAATGGTTGCCAACAGCTCAAAAAAGTTAAAAAAAAGAATTGAGTTTATATACAGTTTATTGGCAGTTTTCCAGAGATTACTATTTCTCAAGACAACATTTCAAAATATGATTATCATTACCTTGATATCCGCCTGGCTGCCGTGTAGGGTCCATAGTACTTGGTAACAACGGCTGCGCTCCTGGCACACCTGCCACACCTCCTGGAGGCTTCAAGGTTTCACAAAACAAAAACAGACATCAGCTGGTTTTGAAATAAATCCACTACATGTTTAAATACTGCATTAAAAATTCCCAATAGCCCCTCACATGATGACTTTGAGATTATCAAACCCTGGACATTTCCACCTCAACTCATCCTGGTTTTCAGTAACATAAAGCAAGCTGCTCCTGGTTGTTTGAAGGGTGGATATCACTATCCAGTTGAAAAAATATCTAACTGGTGAATATCACTATATGTTTTTGAACACTTATCCGCTGAAAAGTGATTTCTCTATTGGATAGCATTATCCTCCCTCTGAAACAGTGTCCAGGAGTTCTACTGCCTCACTCCCTCCCCCTTCCCCCAATAAAATACTGCAATGCCATTAGATTGGGCTGTAGCCTGGTTGCGAAGGTCACCTCCTTGCTGGTAAGGGGATTGCCACCTTACCTGTCCTTGCTTTTACTGCACTTATGTTCCAACACCATTAACAAAGTGGGTGTACAACACTTTCAATATTGGGTTGCTCAGAGAAAAAAAAAATTCCTCTCACAAATTACCTGGCCTGGAATCCTTACATTCGGAGGTCTGTTCGCTGCTGGGTTATATCTTGACATACCATATGGTGTCTGCAGAGAAAAAGCACATGGCAAGGTCAGATGCAACAAGAAAGAAAGAAAGATTCTGTTCAGTACAATTCAAACATTGCTGATCTAAACATTAAGCAGGAATATATGTACCCAGTAAATAAAGAAGTTCTCTGACTTAATTGACTTTTGATCACCTTGTCAGCTATCCAAGGTGCTTCAATTTTGGTCACCATGGTGTGTGGAGGAAAAAAAATTGGGGACTAAATTTGCACAGAGAATCATTCTGAGTTAAGAAAAACTTTGCCTCTTTCTTGAGGGATTATTGCTAATCCATCACCAAATTCTCTGAACTAACAGCATAACACTTGTGAGGATGACAGTGTGGAGAATTAGCAATGAAATCTGGGTGTAAGAGTTAAGTTTTCATACCTGATTGGGCATATATCCTTGAGGAGGCTATAAAAGATACAAACAAAGAGTTATAACTGACATCATGTTGCAAAATTCTACATCAACTACATGAAGACATGTTATAGATGAACATTTTACACATATAGTAAGCTAACAATTTGATTGGTTCTTCCTTATGATCTACTGGAGGACAGACACATAGCTGATATCACCATCAATAATTTTTATGCTTTTTTATTACATAAAACAAATACAATCCATGTTGCCGTGACAGACAGGGTTGCACCTCCCATGCCACTTTTTGGTTCTCAACACATTTGGACATCTTCTGTTATCTATTACTGTACTGACAGACTGCCACATGGAATCTATTTTTTAACCCTCATATCCCACTAATGACCAAGACAGAATTTCTTCTTACACTATCAGTACAATATCAAGCAGACAAGAAATGAGAATAAAGGAAAATATCAATAAAGGGATTATTGGTTGATCCAATTCCAAATTCTCCATACTAACTCCACACAAATTGTACAGCAAGCAGTAAGGAGAATTACTAATGAAATCTTATGAGTAAAAGCCAGTTAAGTACAAGATGGTTATAACATTTTACACTGTGGATAAACCCCTGGTATGTGACAATTTTGGTGAAAGCTACTATGCTGTAATTTCATGCAACACTGAACACAAAAAGGTCCTAACTAAGAAATTTCTTGCATTTCAAACTACAAGGCTTGATCAATTGAATTGAAGAAGACAGAAAGCTAAAACGCATCCTTAAAATTACCTGATTAGGCATATAACCAGGAGGGGTCTGGTGTGATGGAGGCTGATGAGGCGATGCTTGTGGTTGTGACGACTACAAGGAAAAGACAAAGAAAAATGTTGGAGTGCAGAACGGAGCAAACCAGGGATTATGTAGGTGAGTTTTTCCAAGAGGAAAAGGTACAAGACCAGAAATACTGCTTACCGGAAAGTAAGGAGGCATTCCTCCAGGCATATTAGAACCCCCTGGGGGACCATCTGTAGCCATCTGGGGGAATCCTGGGGAAGGTACAGCCCCTTGCTGAAGGTTTGGGATGACCTGAGGAAGTAAAAATTTGTGTTTTATGTTTATCAATTCTAATCAAAACTAGACCGAATTCCTGCGGGTGATTGGCTATCAAAAGCACTATTTGAAAATCAGACGAACAGCTAATGTACCATGCTTGCAAATGGACAGTGTGACAGGAAAGTTTACATGTCATGCAAATGAAATTGGACAGCAGCAGTTCCTTTTAAAACTTATGATAATTTCAGTTTTACTACTTTACATCATAAGAATCGACTCTACCAAATTTCAATGAAATCTCTATATCTACCAATTTAGTCACATGGCATTTCTCCTAACAATTCTCATACTTTATTCTGAAAGCTTGTTATGAGAAGACAGAAATTCATCAGGAACCTGAAGAGAGTCTTACTTTCATAAACTAATACATTATCTTCACAAATATACAGGGGAAAGAATAAAGTGCAGCAACCGAGAATTTCTTATGAGAACTTTGGAGGTAGATGGTTGAAACCAAATTTAGTTTAGGTTTAGGTTTAAAGTCATCAGATTTGATACTAACAGAATCAAATCATTCAACAAAACTGTTTTTTCCAGAGCTCCCTTCACATTTTTCCTTAAAAAAACTTTTAAATCATACTTGTCACTTGAGCAAATTTTAAAATCATCAGATCTGTTACTGACAAAATCAAGTCATTCAATAATAAAATTGTTTTTTCCAGAGCTCCCTTCCAAATTTTTTCCTTAAAAATTTAAAGTTGTACTTATGACAAAAGTAAATTTTACAAATTTAGTTTTTTTGGTTTTTTTTTGGGTGAGAAACAGCCCCTGCTAGAGTAATTAAGGTTGTCCTTTGAGCATTAAATTTCTGTTGACAAAAGCACCGACTGATGAAAATTGCAGTAAACCCTTTAACTCTTAAGATTTAATTGCTAATTCTCCCCTCTAGCTGCTACACATCTCCTTGTAAATTAGTCATGAGAACTTGGTGCTAGATCAGATAGCAGCTTCTGCCTGATAAGTTTGAATATTCTCATTATCTGTTTGCTGAATAATGTATGGTTATTATAGAAAGAAGCAGGTAATTTATTGTTCACAACTGAGTTGAAAACGTAAATTAGCCACTGTAAAGGGTAAAAAAGCTGTCAAAGGGCTAACGCTTGAAATTTCAGCTTTTTTACCCTTCACGGTGGCTAATTTACATTTTCAACTCAGTTGTTAACACTAAATTGCCTGCTATACTCTCCCACCAACACAGCACCCCAGTGTCTTTAGAAACTTACCCCTTTATTATAGAAAGAAGTTTTCATGTTAATCACTTCTGGGAGTTAAAGGGTTATGAGTAAACAATTTCACTCTCAGAAGTGACCAAGCCATAACTTCTCCTTACAATATTAATACAATATCAAACAGCCAAGTAATGAGAATAACCAAAAATTTTAACAAGGCGATTATCATATGATCCAGCACCAAATTCTTACAACAAACTTAAATAAGAGAGGTATGGCAGATAGTAATGAGAATTTGCATTCAGATATTGAGAATGTAAGGGTGAAAACCAAACATTTTTTAAAATGATATGAAGAAATCAGGGTTCATCTAGAGCATGTTACACAAAGGACCCAAAGTTTCCAAAAACGTTTAAGATTTGTACTGCAAACTGCAAAACTATAGTCTCAGACATTCAATGTTTACACTTTTTAAACAATATCCATAGCGAAGCAAAACTTCTTTTGAAACTGAAGGTTGACAACTTCATTATGATATATCATTCAATTCTCCCAACTGTGAAAAAGACCTTCATATGGGACCAGAAAAAGAGAATTCAGATATTTTTACTGTACATACCAAGTATTTTGTTTAGAGACCATACTTTTGACAGGAAATTCAGAGTACTTAGATTTGAAACAACACATCTTACATAATACATCAAAAAGATAAAACATTTATTTCCCTCTAATTGTCCCATTCAGATGTAGGAGTTCACTGTACAATCCTTTCAAGAAAGCACAGATATATAACCAACCCACTAAAGCATTGGTTGCAGTGATTTTATCTTTAAAAACAATTCCCTGTCACCAAAATACATTTACAATACAAGACTGTCAATTTTGTTGTCATCAACCACCAAAGAACTCGTATTTTCACAATCCTTGTCTAAACAATGAAAATCTTGAAAGCATGGCATTTCGTTCTGAAACTATTTCAAGCACGAGCTTATTGAGAGGCCGACAGCAAAAATCAAGAAATCACGCCAAATTGGATTGTATTGTTTGCTCGAAAAACAGAAGAGGCCATGCGCTAAATTTAACAACAGTTTATCGTTGGATCAGCGAGCTCATAGGTTCCGAGACAATAGCATTTTGGGGAAACTTTTGACGGGAATGGGTGAGTTTTGGAAACTCAACACCTGCCAAGGCGCGAGTACGAAGCCTATAAAATCACCCAAAACCTCTCTTGTACAGACACTTCACTTGTCAGACTTTGTACTTAAACGACAGGAAAACAGTGTTGCTTTAAGTTCGACCGGCCACCCATGACGTGTATTCCGTTTTGTCAGTGTCGTGGAAATAAAAATCTGGGCTATTTATGGCCATGTATATTCAAATTATCTACACACTGTCGGGCTACGCTTATCGCGCGTGCGACATGAAATTGGTCGAATAATCGCTTTCAAAACAACTTGCGAACGTCTGATCGGCTCTGTAGGGAAGGATTTCATCGCTTTGCTTTTCTCAAATGGCGCTCGCGCAAGCTGAAAGCTCTATCATGTGACGAAAAAATACCATTCCTTCCTGAAATTATGCAAATTTTGGGAAACCTCAATACGTATCTCCCCCACAGTTTATCAACACAAAATATTCGTCCACGGCGCGGTCTCGTGGTTTCGAAGCATCGATCGATCAATCCTTCGATTGATCTTTCCTTCTCGCGTCTTAGCACGGACTAAGCGGTTTATTAATCGTTGATGAAAACTGACGCTCTTCATTGTGATTTCGTTCTGTATAAAGAATATATATCTCGTACGCCTACACCTGACTAGCGACTCGATCATGTCGTAACTATAACCTCGGGTAATTTATTCAAAAGCTGTGTTCATGAGCATTCACCGAGATCTATTCAAGCGGTAACGCGGGATTTAAAATGACTAGAATAAGAACATTCAATCACATGAGAAAAAAGACAACATCATTGAGTGGAGCGATCTGTAATCTCCAGTCAAATAAATTTGAAGAGAGCTAAAACTTTAGAATGTGTGTCCTAAATGCAACTGGTGGCGATGACAAAGACCTTTGTTCAAGTAAAGCATTCAAAGGTAAAAGTAGAAGATCTTCAAAAAAGCATAACGCGGACGAAACCAGTTCGACCTTTTGAAAAATTGCGAAGCGTACTAAATCAAAATGTTTCCCTATCCTTTACATGACACAATATATCCCGTCTTCGATAAAAAATTAACCAGCGCGCCTTCGATAGGAATTTGAATATTGACCGAGTAAAAGCCTCAACTCTAAAAAGATCGGTTGAATAAAAATATTCTTAACGCTGTAGAACGTTACGCTTAACATGCAACAGTTCGAGAGAGTCGATAGCATATCAGTTACGTTTTACACAGGGTAAAGCTAAAATTACCACGAAATGGGTTTGCATTTTCGTTGAAAGGTTATGACAGCGGGCAAAACGATTCAAGTGTTGGAAATTCTTGGATGTAGTGTACGAAAAACACACCATTTTAACTGCGCGTGTTTCTTCGCTTTTTAACGCAAGAGTGCAGCTCATTGGAGATTTAACTAGAGCCTAGTTAAATCTAGTTGCACCCACAACAATACCAGCGACGAGAAGAATGTTTCAAATCGGTGATCGAGACAGATTTGCGCGCGTGGAAATGTAACAATACACTGATGTAGCGTGACAAAAATGGTGTACGCATCAACAGAACGTATAATCGTTCGCTCGCAAAGATCTCGCTTAAAATTATATCGAAAGCTTACTACGTAAATACATATTTGCTCTTACATAATCGTGGAAGGCCTTTGCTTCACTAGAGTGATCACAACTGTCCCTTCTCTCGGGAGCAGCACAATATAAGTCCCAAAACACACTGCAACAAGAAAGGAAAAAGACACTAACATCAAATGCAACGAGCAGGGATAATTTGGGCGGGAAATTAAAAAAACAACTACGGTTAAATCGCAGAGAAAGGTTAATGAAGCTCCAAGAAGCACAGTTTAGAAGAGTGGAAAATAAAATATGGCAGTGTTGGGCATAAACGACTATTAAAAAACGTAGCTATCATTTATTCTTCTGAACAGAGTAATGAGGACCTAGTTTAAAATTCGAATCAACAACTCTCTAATTAGTTCAGTCATTGGCAAAACTTACCACCACCACGAATGGAGAAAGCCTGGCGGTTCTCCTAGCGTTATATTCTTCTCCCATCTTATCTGAAAGGGAATTCAACCATACTTCAGTGTTTCATTCGCGTGTAACAATCGAGCGACGCGATGCGCGTAGTTCGCGTCGCGGATCGCACAAAGCTTAAAACTTGCATACTCTCCGTGAATGCGAGTCGACTTCTGATCAAGTTTACCTCGTTTAGAAAAGTCTGTGCGCTCTTCTGTGCTCCAACATGAAGAAGATACTCGTATACGTACAAGGCCAGCCTGCGAAGGAACGAAAACGGGCGATAAACCATTTACGCTTCATCAATGTACAGACACATAGGACAGTTTCCTAAACACAAAGCCGAGCTCAGACCGGCGGTGAAAGTTTCGAAATTCGCCCGCGATGGGTCGAAATATAAAACATCTTCCCCCATTTTCGGACACGCTGATTCCATTTCTGACATCCATTTTGCAGGAAAAATCAAACGAAGCTTACTTTTCGCGTGCCTGGGCATCAGAAGGCACGGTATTCGCCTTGCCTTTAGAGTACATGCTGCGCTGGCCCTGTCAAAGATGTGTCAGTGCAGTTCGTCATGCCTTGTGGGGTCCGCGTCACAGACCGGGGCCTAGCGCCTGTAACTATAGAAACCATTAGTGGATTGGCACTGATTGGCCGATGGACGGGACCTCTGAGTCAATGGAAAAGATTTACTTTGGAATGGACTTGACGATCAAGACGAGGGAGTTATGAAAAGTACAATGACGAAAAATCGAAAAGACGAAGTTTAGTGTAGTAACCTCCAGAAATCATTGCATGCAACGAAAATAACGTGTTCCTCGTTTTCTTGATGATTCTCTTCGTGCCTATGTACAAATATGTACATTTCTATGTGTTGCCTTACCGACTTTGATTTGTTTCCGGAACAAAGATAAATAGAAAATCGATTCAAAATATTGAGAAATATCTTAAAAGAAGACATCCTCATTTGCTCAAATTCCAACACCAAGATGACCACAGTTGTAGCTGTCACTCTATCAACCACACGAAAAAAAAAATTAAAATTAACAAATCAGTTAATGAACGAACAAATCAGTTCTGAATGTAACAATCAAGTATCGGTAGGCAATATGCAATGACATTAAATTGCACGTTTTGGCTTGCAGACTCTTAGTTTGTCATGGTTTAGATACTGCTGTCCGAGCACCTCAAGGCGGATTTAAATTTCTTTATTGAATGCCAAAAACATCTGTGGCTATAATTGCTCGAATTGAGACCGAAAAACTTTTTGCAGAGGGTTAAGCTAATGGATAGAGTGAAGAATTGTAGACTTAATGAATTACTGAGTGTTATAAGAATATTTTCTAAAAATGCGACATTACAATTTTATTAGCCCAAACAGTGCGTGACCTGTGTCTAAGTTCGGCTTACGCCGCAATTAGGGTTAAAAAGCGTCCCTCCCAACTAAGTACTCTCACCTTTCCCGTGGAGGAGAATGCCCTCAAGTCAGCGCCATATCAGGTCACACATTAAATTAAGAACTACAGAGGAGAGATAGAGACTCCAAGAAAAAAAAAGTATGATGCATCCGCATACCTGACATCGGAGGACATGGCTGAGTTGTTGGCGTACCGAGATCAAGATCGGGAGCCGCGGTCTGGATTCGAGTCCTGTTTTAGGCATATTGACACTCTCTTGTGCTTTTAGCCAAGAATATGGACCGTCACAGTAGCTCTTTCTCTATACACGGGAAAGTGAAACAGTAAGGTGTGTCGCGAAGAAAACCACACGAAATGCTAAGATGTATCCGCGATCTATCAGCATCCCATCTCTAAGGAGCCAAGATATATGTTTATTCAGTCGACGCATGTTATGAAATCTCCTCCTCGACTTCTTCTCTGACTTTTCCTCGTCAGTTTTAATCACATCATCGTATTTACACTATTTAGATATTCTTTGTTGATATGGCAACATTTGAAACGCTTAATTTGAATCTTTCCTAACTCAATTGTGTCTAATAAAAATTCAAATTGGATTTTCAGAGCAGCAGCGCAACTACGAGATGGCTTTTCGTGTGTGGTTTCCAAGTCAGACTGGAATGGGGAGTGTTAGTGTTTTTGTAGAGAGCTGATAACCAGACAAAGTGGAAAAAATTCGGAGTAAGAAAGAGAATTAACAGCCAAAAAAAACACGTGTGATGAAAAATTCGGGAGTCTTGCCTAAGCCTCGAGCCCTTGACAGGTGAGGCGAACGCTACAAGTACATCTTAGCTCCCTTAAATTGGCCAATAGTTTAATTCTATATCAGCCTAGATACAAAATAAACTTATTTCAAAGTTAATTTATTGATTTTACTTGTAATAACATTAAAAAAAATCTTCAATAAAATTTTCGTTACAAAATTTCTTAAACCCGACAAACCGCGGAAAACTGCAACTTGAAACCGTACTGAACCTCGACAGGGAAAAAATGAATATTTGAAATATTACGTTGTTTTGATCAAGTAAATGTTGCGCACTTATCGATGTAATTAAAAGTAGGAAAATGTCTGTAGTCAATCAATTTTGACTGCCGTTTTATTACAGAGTCCACGTTATTCCAAATCCCATCCGTCATACTTCCGTTCCATTCCAGAATTTAAAAAGATCACTCAGGACTACAAAAAAAGTGAACTTTACGTTTCGCTGGGTTTTTTTGTGCAATACGCAACACTAAACTTTTTGAAAGAATCGCCTTTTTTCAAATAACAACCGTATGTACTTTTGTAAAAAAAAACTGTAGAAAATGTCAGATGTGGAAGCTGTCAATGAACGGATTTTGAATTTTGTTGCTGGGCGAGTTGGCATCAATTCCCATGGGTACGAGAGAAAATTCGATTTATTCAAAACGACTCACTGGAACGATTCCAAAATACCGAATTTCAAACCGATAGCGCAGTGACGCGCGTATTTCAATTCGAAATTCTGCCGTATAGAGAACACTTTTTTATGCTTCTGATGGAACGTACGAATTCGCACTCTCAGTCCGAAAACATGATCAAAGACAGCTGCGTAGCGAGTCGTTCCTGTCACTGAAATTGGTCCTTCTCAGATTTTTATCGCCAAGCGAGTAGACCTCACGCATGATCACACCATATCGTGTTGTTTAACTCCACTTCGCTTCTATTTATCGTGCCGTTCGTGATCGGAAACTCACGTGTTTTGCCTCTCCGGCGTAAACAAAAACCAAAAAACAAGGGAGAAATATTACTTCGGACTTCTTTCAAGTGCCGTAGTCGAGACAAAAATTAAAATTTCATGTGTGGTAGGGTTGTTTTCCATATCGGCGTAGTAACTTTGTCATTGTTTGTTACGCAGATGGTTGCTCGATGCGACAGGAACAATGCACTTGTCAGTTAGAACCCGCGCTTGACAATGCAAGCTCCGCCTTCATAGTGACGTCACTTCCTCGCGTCCTTGGAAAAGGTCAGAAAGTTTAAGAAATCTGGCCAAGATTTGAAGAAAAGTCAGTATATTCTGTCATGATAAATAGTTACTATTCAATTTTATTCGAAGGGATTTTCCCTCAGTTAATCCTATTAATTTGTTTTCGAATAGACGCGAATCGTAATTTTTGTGTTGTTGTTTTTCAATAACGAGTATCAGTTTGATCTTGAAACCGCCAACAAAATAAATTCCACATCTCGGATTCCCCGTATATACTCAAAAGGACAGTATCATCGGCTTAAGAAGGCGCAGAAGAGAAGATTGCTGATTTAAAATATTGTCTCTTAGATCGACAGCAAACGCGAAAAATCTGCGCTATTTTTAGCACCTAGAGAGACAAGAACACCTTGCTTTGACAAGCAGGTGCAAAAGTGGCCGAATGAATTTGAACGATTTTCTGCCTGAGACATGCAAGAGATTACTATATTTCTGAATGTTATTTCACTACATTACTCGTTCGCATGATTGTGGTGTACCGATTACAAATCAGGTAAAAGTTACCAAACGAATAAAATTTATTTTTAACGCAAATTACCGGTAGGCGATCGACTGACCAGCCTTGTGGCAGGTTTTATTGTGAGAGTAAATTGTTACTCCTCGCGTGCATCGCGCGTGGGAGAAAGACAAAAGAAGACCTTGGGATGAGACGAACACATGTGGCGAGGGGGTGGGGAGAGAGTGAGGAAATACGGAAATACTCGGAGATGATCAAAGGAAATGATGTTAATTTAACATGGGGCCCATTTTTATACCCTCAAAGGTATGCTCATTCAATATTCACGAAAGCTATTTTTTTTGCTTTCAAATAATGGGAAATACCGTAACGGATACAAATCTTTGTCGTGGTATGGAGTAGTATCACTTGGTTCAGATTTGTACTGCATGGAAGTCAATATACGGCAGCTTAGTTATCGAAAGTAACGATTTTAGCATAAGAAAATAAAAAAATATTCTTACAGGCTTTACCTAAAATTTTCTCCAAGATCTACTTGACCCACAGGGAACGAAAGAACAGGCGCATTTTCACCCTGTCTACCCCCAGCGTATTTATACTGATATGCATTCCCCACTTCCACCGACACGCTTAGTCAAATATTTCATCATACGAAAATTTGCGTTCCGGAAATGTATTTTTACTCTACACGTTGGGTAGGTTAGGGGATAGAAATTACATTAAAATATATTACTTTTAATCTGCCACGTTTTCTATAAGAAAACGATCTAACAATGGTTTATTGCGGTTTGACATTCACGCATCGTAACACTTTCCCTACCTACCCCACCCTACCCTTCATCCGTTTATCCGCTGAAGTGCCTGTCACATTTCGCGCATTTGCTTCGATTTGGACAAACAGCTCAGGAGGATTCATATTCACTTTGTTCCACTAAATCTTATGCATGTGGAAAACAGGCACCCTCTCATACGAAGAATTCGAAAATGTACTCTTCGACTTCTTGGAAAGGGCTAGAAAAGTTGGAGATTCTTGGAATCTGGAATATGCTAAGGTATGATTAGAAATCTTGTACATTAAGTGGCCGGGTCGATGTGAAGATGTAAGCAAATTAAACATTTATGTTATGCCTCTAAATCTGTTTCACTGTCATAAAATTTCCATTCGTTTGAGGGTAACTAATTTGGATGTTTAATGCTCCTCGTGATTAATTTTTTAGCTTGATCTGTTGCAATTTAAGTAAGTTTTGCCACCAAACCTGGAGTCATCAAGGATTTTTTTTTCTTTTTTTGCGACAAGTAATTAAACAGTACCTTAAGCGTCAGAGAAAACTTCCAAATATTAGTTTATTACGATGGGAAAACGTATAAAATGAAAAAAAAATTAATAACAAAAAAGGAAGGATATAGGCAAGTAATGAAGAATATTTTTACGGATTCTGAATGACCAGCTTGAAAAGCTCAGGCTAAATTTTTCAAGATTCAAACAATCGTAACCACGCTAAATAAAAAAGGGCTAACTATTGAAATTTTCACGGTTTTTTGTTGTTTTTCTGTTTATTGTGAAAAGGGAAAACGAAAAGTGAAGTACCTTACCAAGAAACAAGTGCAGCTGGGTTTTGATAAAGCAAGTGAAGCAGATACAGAGGAAACTTGTGCAGAGGATAAGAACTGGGGTGTGGAGGAAATTGACAATGTAAGGTTTGCTTTCAATGTGATAGAATTAGAACTTATGGCTTAGAAAAGCTTACAAGTTCAGTCCTGGCCCAGTTTCATTACATTGTGTTTGTTGGCACGACAGTTTAACCATGCACTGCCTGATGATACATATTTATGAAATAATAAATTGAGATATTACAAGCCCCCTGATTGGTTAAAAACCTATTGTTTTTTGCATCAGGAAACCTATAAAAAATTGAAGTTTGTTTTATAACAGCAGACTGTACTTTTATGCTTGAAAAGTTTGCAAATCACTTGACTCCAGCTTGTGAAATACAAACTTTTTAAATTTTGTTCTTGCAACATACATGTCCTGCATGGGTTATGATTTGGGTAAACCAATTGGGAATATGGTCTCTTGCTTATGGATCAATAAACCACTCAGCTGTACAACAGTTGCATGCAAACTCATATACAGCAGAGCAGGGGGAGGGGGGGTGCATGGGAGGCTGTAGCCTCCCCAAAACAAAAACTTGGATGACACAGCACCCCGCCTGGTTTTAGTGCTGAAAATATTGCAGCATAAATGTTGGCAAAATGTTCAATCTTATGATCTTTTCACAAAGCCTTTTATCAGCATTGTGCTTGGCAAAACTTTTTCGAACAGCTCCTGCTTGTTTGAGAAGCGTACCAACTGCAGTATTTCTCCATCACTGAAACTACACAGTATGTCCAGGAAATTAAACTTGATCAAAACTTTTCTGTAGGAACCTAGTAGAATGCCAGGCTGAAAGATTTTAAACTCTGCTTGAAAAATTGATTACCGACACACTCAAAACTGTTGTGTACATGGCTGTGTGAAAGATAAGCTCCCCCATGTTTCAAAACACTTCACCACCTCTAAAACTGTAACAAAATATGATAAAACAGTTGGATGTGTGGTAGGAAAATTTTCCTTTTTAGAGTGATATTAATAGAGAAATTAACTCTAACATTTTAAATGAAACCTCTTTTGTATATTTGAAAGAGACCCTATTGTCTCAACAACAACCAATTCTGCAACACTGCAACAAAATGTCGGGAAGCTGGGTTGGGGTTAAGCTAAATGGACAAGTATCTTATCCAGGGAGGAATACCAGTCCTGAGAATTACTCTATCATATCTAAATAACAACTAAAGTACCTGTCATGATATCAGAGTAATTTTATGAGCAATCATAGGAAACTTAATTGGCAGGACAAGTCTGCTGATGTTGAATCATTTGTACTAAGTAGGCTTAAGCTTGATCACAATTATGATGTTAGATTGTCTCTGTACCCAGTAATGTGTGATATATGTTTCCGAGAAAAAAATATAAAGAATGGTAAAATTTGTCGGCACATCTCTCTTTGCTAGGTGGTTGATAACCCCCCACTCACTAGATGGAGTGTTATTTTGATTAATATGTATTGTATCAAGTGTTCAATATTTCCTCATAGATAATTATACAGCTTTAGCGAGAAACCTCTTGAGTAATCCACTGGTTTTAATATCATTTTTACAGGATTGTGTAACATCTGGCCAGCTAGAGTCAGATGTGAAAAAAACATTTCTGAAGTATGAATATCATGTTATCTACAGCACCAGTTATGGTGTCCCAGTGCTTTATTTTACTGCAAGCAGACAAGGTAATTGTGATATTTTCTGGTGCTTCATTTTTTAATGGTAATTGAACTGAGTGGAGTGCAATTTGGGCTGAAATCATATGCATGATTTCAAAATTGAATGAGTGCACAGCGCAAGTTCAATTTGAAATCACAAGTATCAGATTTTGGACCAAAATTGCACAACATGAGGTTCAATTACCACTTTATTACATCCATTTTGAAATTGCCCAAATACAGGACTTGGTCAGTTCAATTATTTTATTGATGCAGTACTGAACCGGTCTGAAATTAAGTTCATCCATTTTTTGGGGGGAGAAGCTAAGAGTTTTGGAAACAAAAGTTGCAAAATTTGCCACATGATACTCTTTGTCTTTCATTTTTTCTGCAATTTGATTAGCAATTTGATCTGTTAAACATTAGCCTTGAAATCTGACTGGTTGTTTTGTTTTTAGTGTAGCCTTCTCATTGGCTGGGAAAAAGATGCGATTTAAAGCAAAAAATGGTGCGATTTGTGAATAAATCACATCAGTTACTGAGCTAATCAGATTATAGGGACCACCAGTGATTTCAAAATGGGTGTAATAAAAAAGAGTAAGTTTGTGTTGATATAAATCTGAGCTTTGTATGTTGTAGACATTACTCAGGGTGGCTCAAAATAGTTTCATTTTTCAGACACTTGAATAAAACAAAGGTGGCTATGAACTATATTTACTGATTTTTTCAACCTTAATATGTAGCAAGATTAATCTTGATACGCTGATTGAAATTCTCAGGTCAAACTAAAGGAAAGCCTCTGAAAATGTTTGAGTCAAAGGGGGTATTTCTTAGAAGCTATGTCTTTATGGAAACTTTTTACATCTGGTATTTATAAATTAAAGATGATTACAACTTGCTGAGAAGGAACTGGATAATTTTTTATGTCATTGTAAGAAAACAATTACTAAAGAGTTATGATATAATTATCTATTAACCTATTGAAGAAATGTAAAATGGTTTCCGTGTTTACATAGCCTGATGTAAACACAGAAACCATTTTACATTTCTTTTATAAAATAACGAATGAAAGAGGAATGAAAACCATGTTTACATACGCTCATGTAAAATGGTTTTATGGCCAATCAGAGCACGTGTACTATTTGAATTATTTTATAAAATTATCTATCAAATAAATATATTAACCGATTTTTTTTTTCAATCCAGCTCACATCTTTTTGTTTTAATGGAAACAAAAGTGTGGGATTTTTTCCATTAGTGACCCACAAGCTTATTAAAGCTTCATTAGTTATTTAAAATGTTTCTTTTTTTTGAGATGGTAAATTAGTCAGTTTAGAAGAAGTTTGGAAAAATGTACCAGAAGTTTACCATGAAAGGCTTGAGTTTGAAAAATGGACATTTTTAACACAACAGGTATGAGAGGAAGTGACAGTCATTCTCTTTACACCCTAATATCATTATACACATTCTCCATACTGTTCTCTATAGATTTCCTAAGCTTCTGGAAAGGAGAATTTATGTAACAATCAAGAGCTTCTTTCGATAGTTGGTGATTGTTTCCTATATTCTTGAGACTTAAATGTATGATTCAGAGGTGATATTGGAAGGAGAAATTATATGCTCATCACTCTTAACCCTTTAGCCCCTAAGAGTGATTAGCACTTAATTTCTCCTCACAATATTGTAACCAAATCACACATTTAGGTTACGAGAATAAAGGAAATGATCACCAACTAAAGAAGCTCTTGATTGTTGAACAAATTCTCCTTGTCAGCACCTTAGGAAATGTATAGAGCATAGTATGGAGAGTTTGCATTCTGATGTTAGGTTGTAAAAGGTTAAGGGAGTTAGTGGGTATCAAGTTGTATTCGCTTTGTTTAGAAAAAGTTCTTTATGATAGAGCACTTTTCCACTCAATGAAAAACTAATCAAAAGTTTTCTAAACAGCCAATCTGAACCATTCAGTAAAATTATAAAGAAAACAAGAAAGCTGCTTTAAAGGCAGGAAACTGTGACAGACTGAGGGGATTGATTGAGAGTTACCGGAGATTTCTCAGCTTATCACACATAGATAAACAAATCTGAATGCTTCTTTGGATAACTCTAACATTTAAGGTTGATAGAGAGTGGCCAGAGTTTTCTAGACTAAATCTGATTGCTATTGTGGACAGCTTCTAACATTCAAGTGAATGTTGCTCTAGTGTTGATTATCAAATTATCTTTCTGTACATAGCATGCTCTCAAATGTCAACAAGACACCATTGCAAGGCCTTCCTAGCCTATGCCGAGAGCATTTTGGTAGAGTAGTGGGGTAACATTGGAAGTTGGCATTCATTCACTGAATTGGTCTTTTTCAATAGGAGTGAGACTTCTGACCAATTGAGAAGAGGCAGGGAGTGAGGAAAAAAATATTTGGCCCTCCCTCCTTCCGTTTTTGCCTTTTTTACTCCTCCTGGGAAGAAATCTTTTTCTCTTTTTGATCATCCCATGCTTTGAAATTCAACATGAATCTTTTTGTGATAAAACTGTCACATTTTGTCTCTAGGAACATCCACACCTTGGGGTTCCATTTTACCAACTTCATCCTTGTCACACCGCAGATATGATGAAGAAAATTGCAGGTGTCACTGAAGATCAAGAGGACAATGTTTCTGCAAACTACCTTGTAACATGGCTGAGTACGGTTGGACCAGTTGTGGGCCTGAAAATTCCCACAGAATACTCCACATAACATTGGCTTAACACAAGAAAATCTGAATACTCTGAGAAATAGTAGAGCAATGAAGCCCAAGTAAGCCTGGGACCAGTTACCTTACTGGTTTGGCTGTGAGAAGATATTGTCTTAAAGGCCTTCTAACACCAAAATTTTTTTGGATTGGTCCCCTGGGGTGGGTCGTTCAAAGCTGGGTTAAGATAACCAGTGGTTAATGTGAAATCTGATTTCAGATCTAATAACTTTAAAAGAAAATTCAGTCAAATTCTTTTCATCTAGAATAGGACTATTTAATGCTCTAGAAAGAACACAGGAATTATCCCAAAAAGGCTTTTGAATAAAGGAATGAAGAAAACCCAGATTAAAATTTAACATTGGGTTAGCACTAATCAGCCTTCAAACAACTGGGCCCAGGTTCACAAATTACTTTCCTTTTCACCCAAGTCCTCTTCTGTGATGCAGGGATCATGCCAAAGTAAAACACATTTACTTTGCCATTATAATTTTTTTTTGACATGTTTTCACATGCTAAGATTACATGAAAAATGTTTCATAATCTGTATGCTTGAGGTGCAAAAATTTGTTCTTGTCCAAATTCTTTCTTTGTGCCAGTTTGTAAACAATGAGAATATTAAAAATAAAATAATTTGGTTAAATGTTGGAACATCCTTGGTTTTACAAGAGACACCTCTTAAGGCAGCATTCAAGATTCCCACTTGAGTTGAGATGCTTTAAGACACTGATTGCAACAGTTTAAAACAAGACAGGCTACCAAAGTATATTTGACAGTGAAGCTTTTTATTTCAATATGAGATATCCTTTTTTATGGATATGGAATATCAAGGTGAAGTTCTTCATCTCCCTGTCTTCTGCAAAAGGAAAAGGTTCTGCAATGAGTGCTTTTTGTATTAACATATACCATGACACCATCAGGTTTACATATTGGTATTGCAACTGACCTATCTTAGCCTTCTGGCTTCACGTTCTGATTCCAGTAAAGTCAAGATATCTCCCTCTCTGACTGGTCCTTTGACATTACGGATGATGGATCTGTTTGTGTCGTCAAGAAACTCCACTCGTACCTAAAAAATTACCAGAGAATTCAATTAATGAAAAAGTTACAAGAGCACAAGAAAAACATCATTGTCTTTACTTTTTCCACCTTAACATCAGTATGCATATTCTCCATACTGTTCTCTAAACATTCCCTAAGGTGCTGATGAGGAGAACTTGTTTCATAATCCAGAGTTTCTCTAGTTGGTGACCATTTTCTTTATTCTCATTACCTTAATGTGTGATTTGGGGATGACAATGTAAGGAGAAATTAGATGCTAGTCACTCTGGAGTTAATGGGTTGAATAGTAAAAAGTGCATTGCTGTCTAGTTGATTGTAAAAACAATGTGCAGTTATGAGCTGTTTCACAAGCATTACCCTGTGTTAGAAGGTAAGACGATCTTATCAGACTGGACAGTATGCTAGTTAACCTTCACAAGATCACTTAACCCTAGTTAGAAGTGCATTGGACAATGAAATTTAAGTGTTTGGGAGTTCGAATGTGCACATGAGATTGTTATCTTTGTCCAAACCATATTAACAAGGTAGCTCAACAACAGAGAAAGCTAAGGTCACAACCACAGCTTAGCAATTCCTGTGTGCAACAGAACAAGACATTCTATTTTTTCATCCAAATCCTTCCTCCTTCCTTCCACAATGGCCCAAACTAACACTCTTCCATTAGAGATGGTTGCTAACTTTTCCAAAATTGCTCTGATGAAGGGCTAACACTCGAAATGTCAGCCTTTTCACTCTTTACAATGGCCAATTTGCGTTATCAACTCAGCTGATTACACTAAATTACCCTGTTAACCTTTCCAAAAGTATTACCTTTAGTATCAGTGGAAAGCCATTGGAATGGTTCTGATCAGTCACGTACATTAGCTTTCTCTTACACTTATAAAGACAATGCTATTTATGTTTCATCTTTTCTAACAATTTCCCCAGTTTATTGCCTTTTTCAACTGCCGTGCTGCCTTTAACAACCATCGCCTGTCCTACACTTCATATGAATATTATTGAAAGACTTCATATCCGATAAGCGTACGATTACGAGCAGTAGAGTAAAGGAACATGAAGACGTTTACTTACCTGAGTACACTGACCTTGAGAGCCGGTTCTTCCCAGACATTTGGTAACCTAGTGAAGGAAAGAGAGTCACAAGTACATCAGATTTGCTCCCTTCATAAAACACAACATGTATTTATATTATTGAGCCTTTATATCGACTCGTAACTTGCATGATTCGCAAAAATTGTCATGATTTGTCCTATCCTTAGCTTCTTTTGAAATTTTTCATCCACGAATAAACCCTAACAGAGCCTCCTTTAAATACATTTATCGTAAATTTTATCCTGTAAGGAATGGTTCGGTGAACTTCCGAAATTTGGTAAAAATATCGAAAACTCACACAAATATCTACAAGTATCCAAGTTGAAACTTAAAATGGGGTAATTTGAGGACTACCAGTTAGTTTAAGCTTAAAATCAGCTGTGTTAGATCGAGAAAAATCAAAATACCTTGGCTAGTTTCACAGGCTTGTCCATAGTGGAAATATGGCGGCTGTAAGAGGAAGAAACCACGTGGTCAAAGTGAGTTTATAATGCGCACTGAATGCTGGGAAATAAGAGAAACTAATAAACTGAAATAATTTCAAACTTCCTTCGAAATAATCTTTAAGGAAAATAGCTTTATTTCCCTCTCCTCTAAATTTCGCTTGCAATATCGAGTCTAATTTTTGTTGTTTTGGCTTTTTATTTTCACTTTACGAAAAGATTTTGTGGCTGAGAAGGCCAAGATAAAAATCTCCCATGATCCCATGTAAGCTTGATTTACTCTCAAGATGGCGACAGCTTCGAGAGCTATCCAAGCGATTCGCAATTTTCTAATCGGCGTAAGTAAAACAAACTGCCGACTTTTGTGTTTTCCCTGAGAATAGATTTTTGATTGATATTTTTTCTCTATCAACACAGAAAAGACTCACAGTTTCTTCTCGTTATGCTTACGAACAATCTGCAAGGTATTCCTGCGTATTGCGTCTAGAAATAAGTTAGCAACTTATTTTTCTTTTAGGTTTGTTTTGCCCCTATTAGATACAATTCAAATGTGAAATTCGTAGCTTTTATTTATATATACAATCCTGTTCGCATATAGGCATTCTCTCTGGTATTTATACCCGTAAATACGTGTATATCCTAGAAATGTATGTGTTGATTCACTTTTAGGTCAATATTAATATCTAGGTAAATTTCTAGGGTTTCCAGATTTTTTGGGAGGAAGATGGATTGCAAAGGACCCTTTAGAACTTATGGGGGGGGGGGGGGGTTTAATAAAGAGGAGAGGTTTATGTAACCATTTACATCAATTCAGTGTTTAAAGTTCTTCCTGACTGATGGTAATCCATGACTTATTTTCAAAGAACACAGCCAAGTCCCAACATCCCAGATGGTCCAGCTCACAAACTTAGTCACAATTACTACTGTGACAGAGATCTGCGTCGAGCTTCAATGCCACCAGTTATATTGTATGGCCAGCAGAAGCTGTTAGAAGAGGCTACAGAGAAAGGGTGAATGAAATATTTGTAAAAGTGAATATTAATCTCATATTTATAAATCTAGACATTGATAACAGAGAGTTCCAGACTGGGCACAAACAGGTTACATTTTAATTTTTTTCCAGGTTGAGAAATTTGTTCAGCATGCTATCATAAGACTTAGATAGCACCATTTGTTATGAAGCACACTAGCCCAGTTTTACTGGGAAAAAAAACCCTTGGTTATCTGAACACATTTTATTGGCAGTCAAGAAAGCAAGCAAAAAGTTAATTTATAGAGTCTGAAGTAAGTTTTTTAGTTTCCCTCCAGCCCACACCATAGGCAATTTGGATTGTTTCTATATTTTATTAGCATTTGTAATTTTTTCATGATAAATGGACCATTTGTTTAGTGTATCTGTCAAATACTTTTGCTGTAATAGTCTAATGTTTTATGTACATAGGTAATTTATTTTTTTGATAAACTGCCTTGTCCCAAAACAAGTCACAGACTATTGTGTTGTTAAGAGTTTTTTTTTTTAACATTTAACAAGGCATGCCCTTTAAGTTCTGAAGAAAAAAGGTGAAAAGTATGGGAAATATAGTCAGTGACATAAAACTCAGTGGAAAATTGATTGGTAGCTGTGAGATTTTCTGTCACTTTCCCTTTTAAGAATTGTTGGACTTTTTCTGTATTTATTTTCTATGGGTAAGAGGTAATTAGGTAAATTTGTCACCAAAAGAATTATGAGTGCTCTGTTCAAGTGTGGCTGTAGGTTGGTGTAATTTTGTGTGTGTGTGTGTGTGTGTTTGTAATAAGTTAATTAATATTTTTCATTTTTTTTTTTCATAAATGTGTTTTATATTTTAAATATTTCTCTATCAATTTTCTTTTTCAGTGGAGAAGGAGTCAAATCACTAGCTGCAAAAACTCCAGGAAAAGTGTTCAATCCAGATCAGTGACTGCTTGTGAAAAAAAAAACTATCACAACTGATAAACATTTATTTGTATTCAAAAATTACTTCTTTTTCTTTGAACTCATGATTTTCCTCTGAACTACCAACAGTAATTTATCAGAAATAAATAAGCCCAATATTTTTTTGCTGGGCAAAGTCAGCACTATATGGTTTCCACAGTTATAAGAACAATGGCTGATACTATTTGTAGCAGTTTGGTTTGTGAGTGTCTTTTTGCAAAATTATGGATTTTAAAGAGCATGGATCAAACCTTTTCAAACTGGTTGACATTAAGTTTGTTGAAAATATTACTTTCTGGAGGTGTTGAGTCTTAACATCCATGGAATTTTTGTGTTAAAAAATTATATGCAATGTTTTATAGGGGTTAATTTCAGAGTTAACCCTTTAATCCCAAAGAGTGACTAGCATCTAATTTCTCCTTACAATATTACTCCTGAATTACACATTAAGGTCATGAGAATAAAGGAAATGGTCACCAGGGAAGGAATGTTTTGATTGGCAAACAAATTCTCCTTGTCAGCACCTTAGGAAATGTATAAAGAACATTGTGGAGAATATGCATACTGATGTTACAGTGAAAAGGGTTAAGTCTGAATGTGATGGGGTATCTTGAATTCTGTTGTGTACATAGTGTAATCTAAAAGAATAAAGGTGATTTCTCATGAATCTGACCTCTGACAACTTGTGAATCCTGTCTAATAATAATTAAAATTCATGTACTAGGATAGTCTAGACTGCATGACAGGCAAATGAGCATGAGAAAGTGATAAAATATTTCATAAGTGGAAAAAAGGAAGAACAATTATCTTTGCCTTGTTGGTTTATATAAACACCTGGACATTTTAACCCTTCAACTCCCAGATCAAATTTGCCATTCTCTTTACTGTCAACCATACAATCCTTATAATGTTAGTTCAGAGAATTTAGTATTGGATCAACTAATTATCCCCAAATTGATATTTTTCTTTATTCTCATAACTTATCTGGTTGATATTGCATTGATGTTGTAAGGAGAAATTCTGTCTTGGTCACTTGTGGGAGTTAGAGGGTTAAGGGCATTTGTGAACAGCACAAAGCAGCTCTTGCTCGCGACTCCTGAGTGAGATCTCAGATGGAGTGGGAGAGAGAGAGTATTCTCAACACTACAGCTTACAGCGAGGTCCTGGATTTACTGGTTTGTGAAAGCTGAATAACTGAGCTGCTCAAAAAGCATGGTAGTTTTTACTTTTAAATGTAAAAGCAGTGCTTTTACAGTGTAAAGATAATTTCTTGAAATAATTTTTTAAACAGATTTCTGCATTTTACAGTTCATTGGCACTAAATAAACACTGAAATGGCTTCCTACAAAATTGTGCAACAGTGCGAGTTTTTGTCCTTCATTGTAAAGGACATAAAGGAAGATTTTGCCTTTTGTATCATTAATAAGACTTGGTGTGTTTCCTCCAAGGATTAACTCATGCAGCGACTTGAGCAATTTCTACAACTTCTTAAACATCCTTTATTCCCAAGCCATTATCTATACTAATTTTTAATTTGTGTTTTAAGACCAATTAACGAAATTCCGAAAAATTCTGCGATGTCCCTGTAAACAGCGAGGGTGTAGTAAGCTGCCTGATTCGAACCTATCACCTCGTTTCCTAGCGGAAGTAAAATGTACAAGATGCGCGAGACCGGAAGCCAAGAAATTGTTAACACGGCGTGGGCTTCATTTGACAGAAAAGGCGCATTTTGATTAGACAGCCGGTCATCCGCATTTTTATATGATCATTACGCCTGTTTATGTGTTTGTCCATCTGTGAACGACGCCCGACTTTTCTTCTACTTCATTTCGAAAATATGTGCTAATATTGATGTCTTTATGGAACTCAAAGGACTGTAAACCTTTTTAGTTGGCATTGTTTGTGTTTTGAGTGCTATTATGGCAGAAGCGAGATCGACGGGAAAAATTACTTATGTGACTTTGTCGCTGGAAGATGTGCGAGGATCAAAACGCAGCGATAACGAGAGCGAGGATACAGAAAGTAAAAAAGAGACTGTTTATTCAATGTATACGCAGAGTTTTATGGATGATTACTTGATCGAGTTCAGCGAAGTCTTTCGAAGAAAGGTAACAGCTTATGAAGCGAGGATCATAACGTCGATTATGTTCAATGTGTTATTTGAGGTTTCATGTTCATTCGAGAAAATTTATTTTTAGTCAGAAGTTCCTCGTTGTAACTTTGCGAGCAGTGTCTTTCTTGCAAGCAGGTGTTATGGAATCGAGGGGGTGGAGGGAGGGGCAGAGAAGGGGACTGGAGTAGGGAATTGAAAACTCACTTACAGAAGCGACTGGGAAGGATGTTTGTAACAACGAGTAAAATGATCAGGCCAAAATAAAGAAATAAAATTTATTTTACAAGGCTTTTGAGGGAAATTCTAATTCATGCAGCATCTTTCTGAGAAAATGTCTTCACTTGAATCCAAGATTGCTTTAGTTAGCTTGTAAACCTTTTTGCTCCCATGAGTGACCAAGACAGAATTTCTCCTTACAATATCAATTCAATATCAAGCAGATAAGTGATGAGAATAAAGATTTTTGAATAATTTTTAAATAAAGGGATAATTAGTTGATCCACTACCAAATTCTCTTAATTAATGACATAGGAATTTATATAGCAGATAGTAAGGAGAATTACAAATAAGATCTTAGGGACAAAACTGGGTGATAGTTGGACATGTCGGAAATCTTGGTTGTGATTCAGTAGCAGTATTATATTCAAATTGAAAATGGGACAATTTTAGAGATTAGTTAAAAGACACAGGCACTTCAAGAAAGTTAAGCCAAAAAAACAGATGTTGGTTTAAAACCAAACAACACAATCAGTATAGCTGTCTTGTAGAACCTCAGTAAACTGCCTGTTTATTTATTCAAACAAATACTCTGTGAATACTTTTTTGTAAGTGTTCATTGGTGAAAAGTTCTTTCAAATTCTAAGCTTAAAACATGTTACGATGTGTTATGATTTGTTTGACAGCCTGCCTTAATTGGTTATTTGCTTAATTAAATATGCAGTGATTTTACTGCTTACAGAATTGCCTCCAAAATGGCATGTTGAGTTTCTTGTAACACAGAACAACATGAAACAAAACGCAAACTGTCAAAATTCCAACATTTTTTTTTCGTAGTGTTGATATGGTATTCAGAGTGATCCCTTAAAAGTTTGTGACCTTTAGAGAGTTGTTTTCAGCTCTGTGACAAGTTTTTCACTTAATGCAGGTGCGTGAGAAGTATTGTTCTACTGAGGAAATATCTTGGAGTGATGCGTCAGATGAGGTAAAAGTTGAAATCTTGATTGCAAGATTTGAGGATGGAGGAAGGCAATTTTCAGAAGATCCTCTTCTAGTGTTACTCAAGAAATGGCCAGCAAGTGAAACATTTTCTGATAATCCAAGATTAATAGAGGCAGAGGTATGTTTTAAACTGTTGTTACATGAATTTTGGAATTGGTGGTAATCCTAGCAATCTGATTGGCTCTCAGTAGTGCCATTAGTTAGGAATCGCATTGAAATTGCTATACATTGCATTTTTCCTCAACCAGTGAGAATGGAACAATTGAACTCATCTAATCAGATTTCAGATTACAGCACAGTGTCTAGTTTGAAAATTGCACTCTTTTTTTAGTTTATTATTATAACTGTTGGATCAAAAAGATATTGGTGCTTGCCAATGATATAAAGTGGAAAATTTAAACGTACCTGTATTTTTCCACAAATCATTTGGATCCATTGTGTGCTCATGAAATTTTTCAATCATGCATTTGATTTCGGATGGGGTTGTAACTTCTCCTTACATATCAATACAGTAGTGAGTGAACTGGTGATGAGAATAGACATTGTTTATCAGCTCCATGGTGTTATCTGAATAGAAAACCAAATTCTCTCAACTTATATTTATGAAAATGTTCACCCTCTGCATGGGAGAATCTCACATCTGAATTTAGTAGTTAAAAGTGGTCATTATGATTCTCTTTTATACCCAGATAAATCGTCTGGTCAAAATAATTTTCTGCAAAGATGAAGCTAAGAAATACAAGTTTTTCAAAGACAAAAAAGAGCTGTCGTGGAAGACACCACTTCACCTGGTTGCAGAGTTAAACTTCACGTCTGTGGCACAAACTATTTTAAGTCACTACCCTGGACAGCTGTACATAACAACAAATCCACATGCAGGAAATGATAATAGCAGAAGCATTCCTCTTAAGTTGGCATTGAAACGACGCAATGATGAAGTTTCAACTCTGATGATAGAGCACATGGGATCTGAAAGGTATTGTGGATCAATATCACTATCTGGGCAACTGCCCACCTACCCCTCCCCTCTGGGCAACTGCCCACCTACTCCTCCCCTAACCCAACTTGTTGTCAATTGACTGTTGTTGAGTTAGGGGAGGGGTAGGTGGGCAGTTGCCCAGATACTGATATTGATCTGGTATTGTTATATAAAAAATTAGTCATGATTGTTGTTATTTAGCTGCTTGGATTAGTTTTTTAACTAAGTTATAGAGGTAGATATAAATTTTTTTTTCCTATTCCATAGGGTCTTGAGGTTGTTCTCAGATAATGTCTATGACATCCCTTTGAGCTTTCAAGAGCTTGTGAAACACCCGAACATGAAGGTAGGTATTAAGGATAAGGAAAAAGCCTTGTTGTTAAAACTCCTGACAGCGTATTTTTTTGTTTTGTTTTTTTTTCTTTGCTCACTTGTACTTGGAAGGAATCACCATATTTTCAGGGGCAGGAAAATCAAAAATGCAACTTGGGCTTAGTCTTCCTTAACCCTTTAACTCCCAAGATCTCATTAGTAATTCTCCTTACTGTCTGCCAAATGATTCTCATCATGTAAGTTTGGAGAATTTGGTATTGGATCAATTAGAAATCCCATGATTGATATTTTTCTTTATTCTCATCACTTGTCTGCTTGATATTGTATAGTTATACTAAGGAGAAATTCCGTCTTGGTCACTATATATATTGAATAATTCTGTTCAGTAGATATTAATAAGAAATTAATAAATAATTTATGAATAAACCCACCCAAACCAAGCAAAGATCAACAACTTCTTGACCACTGGAAATGAACTCTATTTTATTTCTTTTTGGCTGCAAATTAAGAGTCTTGTTATCTCATTGTCAGTGATGTAACCCAACAACCTGTTCCACCACTGCTCCTCTCTCCTACCCCACCCAGTATTCTCCCTCTCCTCCCCTCCCCTCCCCTCCCCTTCCTTCATCCTGTACTAAAGATGGAGCTCTTTGAGGTGTGGGAGGTTCATCTTGCATATTGAGCAAGGTGCATACTTTTAAAAAATTCTTTTTTATCTCCGCTTTTTGAACACAGGCCCGAGCTGTTCAAATGAAAAAGTCCTATCACATTTTATTTGCCAAGCATGATCCTAATAAAAAGATTTAAAAAGACTAGGAACTACACTGCATATTTTGTCCAACCAATTTTACGCTACGGTTGCTATATCGTTGGCACCGAGCCCCGAAAAATGTTCGTCCCTGCGTTCTGGTTTTGAATTACCGGAGTTATATCCTCTACTCAGACCGGTCATATAATCTTCTTCTTTAGAAAACTGTTACAGCTGTCCTCAACTGTATGATCAGTCCTGATTGGCGACATTTAC